ACATAACGAACTTGGGCTTATATTTATGAAAGAATCGGAAAAACCGGTGATGGTAATGGGAATATTACATGTTTCAAATAGAAACCTATCCAATATGAGGGGTGTCAGTGTCAATAATTCTCGGATAGCTATTGTTGGTTGCCACTACATGAATCTACATGATGTGGTAACAAGATGCAACAATGATGTAACACGCTGTACCCCCTACAGGAAATATTTTCCAAGGAAAGTGTAAGCAATGACCGATTGTATACTTTGTTTGGGGGGGGAAGGAGGGTTTGCAACCCTTTTCTGAGTAAATTCTTAGTGGTATATACATATTAGATCATATTAGATCATATTAGATCATATTAGATCATATTAGATGATGATATGTACTGTACATAGTTATAATGCAATAATAGTTGTACGATGTACTACGCTTTTATTCCCAATTCTCTTGACTCCAAACTTTGGTCGTTGACATCACGACATCACTTTCAATCCTTACTTGTGTCGCTTGAACTGCATTTTTTGATTGTTAAATCCCAGTCGATCGTGGTGAAATTGCATTTTTCCGTGGTTAAGTCAAATCCGAATGTTTGAGAGTTGAATTCCCAGTTTCATGCGTAATTCCTGGTTGAATCACAATTTGAGATGGTGAAAGTACCATTTTGATATCCTCATTTCTGATGGTTTCACCACCATTTGTCGATATACATATAATTACATATATACATATAATTACATATATACATATAATATAATTTAATTACATACATATAATTATATACATATATACACATATATATGTAGCCTCTGGTTATTTAACATAGCCATGGGAAATGGTAATTGCCCTAATCGAAATAGATGGTAAACACCGTTCTTTTCATAGCATGGGCCGGATCTTTCCAGCCGCTCGGAGGTTCCCGGAACCTCCCAAGGATCGCCGTGGAGGGGCACAGACCGAAATCTTGGCGGAGGCGAAATGGAAATCCCCTTCTTTGACCCTGATCACTGTTGAAATCGGATTTAATTAATGATGTTTCTAGGCTAGGATTTAAGTAATTGGATGTTATATGCTTTTGTTTTTTTTTTGGATAGGATTTTTGAGTACTTTGTCCTCTTTTTTCCAATCATAGTAACTGTTAATTTGGTGGAACATAGTACAATATCATTATATCATTGGAATCTCGGGTTTTTTGAGTACATACTGAGTACCATTTCCTCTTGCGTTCCTTCACCACGCTCCGCCGCGTTGCTTGCGTTGCTTCACCAGTTGCGGCGCGTCACACACGGCTATGGCACGAAAGATGATGAAGAGTTCGAGCTCCTTCAGGTTGGTCAGGGCCATCGGTATCATCGGTTTGTTTGTCAGCTGTTTCTTTGGGGAATTGATCCCTCCTCCAAAAAAAATAAAAGAAACATGGATATATAACATTATACAACATGATATATATATATATATATATATAACTATATATATATATAGCTATAGTTGAGTGTAACCATTATGGACTGTCAACCATAGGAATGAACTAATAGTTGATTAAAACCATCATTGAAAAATGAACAAAAACTGATTATCACCTATAAGTCCACTATTATCAATGGACACTCAACGTTGATTATGGACTATAGTTGATGGTCACCAATGGACTATAGTTGATATCCACGACTAGGTAGTCAAAAAAAAATGGCCTATAATTGATTCTAGCCATAATGGACTGTCAATAGTGATATCAACCTGAAAATTCATGTGGGGAATCAATGAATATGAGATTTCATGTGTTTTTGCTATCCTAAATTTTGAGACAATGAATTACCATCTGGTTATTTGACACAGCGAACTGGAAAGATCCACCATGCTATTAAGAACGGTAAATTATCTATTTCTATGGGCCATCTATACCATGGCTTTGTTAGTCATAACCAGATGGTGATGCTGTAATACTTGGATTTACTGGTAAACCATGCTTCCAACATCTGAATCTAAGCCCTCTCGGCATATTTCAAGTCAAACATATTCCGACATGTTTGGACTGTTTGGAATATTGAAAAGCATATCATGTTTTCTGTTGTTTGGTTTCCCTTCTAAGGACTTAGCATGTGGAACGCGATTGCATAGCTCTCTTACGTCAAATGCCCCTGGCCCCGCAGGATGTCGACTTTATGGTGACGTTTGAGGCTTAGCCAACAGGGGCCCCTGCACGCTGCACGGCTTCCCATGTGACACGCTTCACCGCTAGAAGTGGTATGTTCAGAATCCCTTCAAGTGGTCAAGTTACATGAATTTGACCATTGAACATTTGGGAAACTGGATGTCTGGTTGGTGGTTTGGAACATGTTTTATTTTTCCATTCAGTTGGGAATTTCATCATCCCAACTGACGAACTCATATTATTCAGAGGGGTGGCTCAAAACCACCAACCAGATTATTGCGAACCATCATTCACCATATATTAACCATATATTAACAATATATTAACCATCATTAACGGTATATTAACCACATATTAACCATCATTAACAGTATATTAACCACATATTAACCATCATTAACCATATATTAACCACATATTAACCATCATTAACAGTATATTAACCGCATATTAACCATCATTAACAGTATATTAACCACATCTAAATATACAACTAAATGAACATTATATAACGTTATATAACATTATATAACATTATATAACATTATATAACATTATAATATAACATTATATAACATTATATAACATTATATAACATTATATAACAATATATATTCCCAACATCTAAATTTGCAGTATATGGAAGTATGATCCACGAAGACCAACTTGGTGCATAAACTATGCCACTTGAGTCACCATGTTAAAAAAACGGGTGCTATATACATCATGTACATATTTATATGTACTATAATATACATATTAATAATTTATGTATATATATATAATATAATATTATATTATATTATTATCATATTAATATACCATCCCCAGTCATCCCAACCGGCCCTGAGTCCTGGCGATAAGATCGGCATCGTGGGCGGCAACGGCAAGGGAAAGCGGGGAAACCCAGTTGGAGGTTGGAGGTTTCTGTAGTGGGGGTACACCACTGGTTATGTCAAAATAGCTATTGAAAATGAGGGATACGGGATTTTATGGGATTTTATGGGATTTTATATGATAATTATGGGAAATCATGGGATGATATGGGAATTTATGGGATACCCTCTGGTAATTTGTTACGTAGCTATTGAGAACCATAGAAATAGTGGATTTTCCCATGAAAAATGGTGATTTTCCATAGTTATGTTAGTTTACCAGAGGGTACCCCAAAAACGCTGGATGGTCTATTTCAGTCGGAAAAACCGTGAAAATAAAATGGATGATAATAATAAGACATAGACCATCCAGTTTTTTAGGAACCCCCTATTTTAGGAAATCCATATTTTTATTTCATCGAAAATAGTGGTAGCCCTATTTTAGGAAACCCCCAGTTCGATGATTTACCGTAAAAAAACATGGTGGATTTTCCATATGTAAAATCATCATAACCCACAGTTATGGCCATTTATTAGTTAAAACTGGTTATAAATGGTATTATACATTCTATAAATGGGGTTAGTTCAGTACTTATAATTGGTAAAGGGCCATAACCCACTGGATTTAAGCGGCTACGGAGACAAAAGAACTTCGTAGCACTTCCTGAGTCCTGTTGGCTCCCAGGCAGATGGGCTGTGCCATTAAATAATCATATCATTAGATCCCAGTATATGTATATATATATGATATAAATGTATAATACATATAATATATATATATGCCCACGGTGGTGCGTTTTATGACCATTTGTTTGCGTTAAATCAGCATTTGCCACTTGAAATTTTCCGTGCAATTCTGTATTAAACAACCTCCAGTTGGAGCTCAGCACATCATATTCTTTCGCTGGTTGCACTACTGGTTGGTAGGCGATGGTTTTTGTTGGTGGCTTCTGTTTGGAATGTTCGGAATTTTCTATATGTTATTCATATGTCGTGTTCACTGGGGTTCCAACTACAGAGGACTATATAACTAGTTGCCCGCTTACTGGTGGGTTCAAAACATCACGCATTTCCCAATTGGAAAGAGGCAAGATCACAAGATTGGCTGGCTATGCGCCCATTGGGCTTATTGTAAGGCTTATTGATTATTGCCTACTAAACCATTATCAACTGTTATGAACAAATGATATCAAATGATTGTCAATGATTGTCAATCACAATTGACCCGTTCATGGTATATCATTAGTATTCATTGGCCTGGAACCAACGAAGATCAACCCTTACTAAACCAAGGTTGATTTATGTTGAAGCTATCATTGGCATCGTGTTTCCTAAATGGTGCATATATATATAGATAGATAGTCATTCTTACAGTAACCCCCAAAAAGATAGAACCGTAGCATACTTTTCCAGCTTAACTTGGGGGTTGCCATAATCGTATGATCAGATGGTTTACAAGGTGATTTATCCGAATTACTGCTAGATATAGATATACAAATATAATCATAGTTGGTATATAGTACTATAATATAGTGATATATATATATAGTAATTTAATATAGTACTATAAGATATTACTATGGTAGTTAATATCAGATATTACTATAGTACTATATATATAGTTGATATATCTACCATAATTGCAGCATACTTCACCTCATGAAGCAACAGCAAAGTACGGGGCATCACCGAAACCTCGCTGCACCTCGCCGCCGTCTGGCTCTTTTAATCCGGGTGGTCTTGACAGCTGATCAAACATAGAAAAAGGACCATATTTTTGGGGATGGGTTAGAACATAAGTTAAAATATAAGTTAAAACATGTTAAAACATGTTAAAACCAACCAGCTCAAGATCTTCATTCATGTTCATTGATGCTCAATGTTGATCAACTTCGAAAGTTAACAAAACATATTCAGTTGGTACCACGACCGTCTTCCCCCAACGCTACGACCGTGGCTACCACGTTAGGGGGGTAACCAGCAGATGGTGTTTCGGGCGAGCACCGCCAGTTGCCCGGCGGCATGGTTTTCCTGGGTGGTCGGTGAATTGTGGGTGAATGGTGGTGTTTCTTAAGATGCGACCAATCACCAACCAATCACCATTTGGTCACTATTTTAGTTGCATCTTAAGAGTTCAAAAATCAAATGGTGATTAAGTCACCCCAATTAAAATTAAAATTCCACCCGAATGATGCAATTTTATCAATTTCAAATAATGACGCCACTGGTTGTGGGTACTCCAATATTGGTGAATTTCCCGGTGGCCGTCATGTGTAACAAAGATTGAGATGCCACTTGAAGCATTTTGCGATCAATTAGTTATGACAGGGCGGGTTGGTAAATTTTCTCATGAAAAGCATCACCCAACTATTGGGGGATCCGATCTCCAACAGATACTTAACTGAAGGTGATGTTCAAAATCCCCCCCCAAAAAAGGGACATTTACTACCCCTCTATGAGCAACCATGGGGATTTCCGGCATTTTTTTCACCATGATGGTTTGTCGACAGGTTTTTCGACCGGCCTATGAGGGGTGAATGGTACAGATGGTGAATGGGCCGGTGCCCCAATTAATGTTGGCGAAGTATGGCTAAGTCGGTCTACCAACAAACATGGTGGTTTGGAACATGTTTTATTTTTCCATATATTGGGAATGTCATCACCCCAACTGACGACCTCATATTTTTCAGAGGGGTAGGTATACCACCAACCAGACAAGTTCAAGTAGGTGAACTGTTTGGGTTCATGATCAGCACATGGGGGCTGTTCAGCAACAAACATGTCCCTGGGGGGCACCACCAAGCGTAGATTAGTGGGCTGGGTTATCTCCGTTAAATGACGGACAATCTGGATAGACTAGGCAGCTATGTAAAAAATCATGGTTGGCGTTGTTTTGCAGGGTAAGTGGTTGGTGGATTCAAATATTGTCACTTTTTTCAACCATACAAAAGGGATGTTTTTTTTTTGAGATGACAGCAGCAGCATATTTTCTGGATGGGGTAAAACATGGTTTTATTCCGCCATCAAGGTCAAGATTGGCCATGATTGGCCATGTCATGAGATATTTTTTTTGGATCATCCCACTGCTTAGTAACTGGGCTAAGGAAAGCCACTTTTCTAAAGGGGGCCACTTACAGAACTTACCAACCAGGGTTCTCAGCCACGATTCGTGGGATGATCCTCCAGATGTTTGTGAGAGTTCCTTCGACATTCTATCGCAGACGGGCTCAAAGACCATTTCTTGACACATGCAACTACAATTATTTTCCTACGTATACTACATATTATATATATATGTATTATTATATTATGTTATATTATATTATATTATATTTTATTTTATTATGTTATATTATATTATATTATATTTTATTTTATTATATTGTATTATATTATATTCTATTGTATTATATTATATTGTATGTGGTCTCATGTTGTGTGTTCCTACCCCCACCCTCAATGGTATGGGTCCCCGGGTAGCACGCCCGGCCCGTCTATTTAAGAGCTATTTCTAAGGTCCAGCCTCGTATTTACTAGGTATTTGCAGCATTTCTGACTCCCAGCTTCTTATTTACTATATGCTACCTTTTAGACGACCTACATAGTACACATACTCCGTCAAAGTACGATATATTATATGTTATATATACACATTTTTAAATATTATATAAATAATATTGTATATACACTAAATTATATATATATATATCATATATATATATATCATATATATATATATATATATCATATATATATCATATATATTTATATATATTGATGAAATTTTGTCTATTTATAGATGATGTGTATATTCATATGATATTTATATATACATATATAGAACTCTATGTTATATAAATTCATTATATGTATAAATATCTTCTATATATACAATTATATATTTATATCTTATATATATCTAAATATATCACACAAGCATATATATATAGATATATAGATATATATATATATATATATATTTGTATATATATATATATACATGATTGTGTATACACATATATATATATGTTTGTATATATATGTATATCGCATACATATATGATATATCATAAAGACAGCATACCCCCTCACCCCCTCCCCGCCCACTAAACAACACGCCCCCGCCACAAACAAAATATTACAGAGTCTGGAGTGACCAAGGTAAATCATGGGATATATATGTATATAATGTATAAAATGTATACACAACCAAAATGGATCCCAACATGACCCCAAAATGAATGGACTACATAGATAGCTTTCTGGGCTCTCGGAGATTGCATCACTTGTAGAGCCGCCAGCTCGAAACTTCCATGGCTCGGGGATTTTGTTTTCCACCTTGGATGACACCAGATACCTGGTGCGTACCTCGAAACCTCACCATCCCAGTCCTGTTCGAAATCCTCCCAGTGCCGCACGGCAGGTTTTACTTCTTTGCAATCGTATGTGGAGCCAGAATTGCTTCGAGGTTGGGATCTCACCTAGCGTTGTAACAAGAATGGGGAGGGCTCACAACTCGCCTTTGATCTATGATACCTTCTGGTAAACGTTTACATAACTATGGAAAAATCACCATTTTTCATGGGAAAATTCACTATTTCAATGACCATTTTCCAGTTCGCTTTTTGTATCTTTAGCAGGCCGGGTAATCAATGTCAGAGGGATATCATGGGATCTAAGCTGGGGATATACTCGACAAATGATGGTTGATGATTGTAGTGCTTATTGTTGTAGCAACGCCCAAGGCCATACACCATCTTGAATTGGCGTTTATGTTGGATATTATTTAGGACAATGTACAGATATGTACAGTAAAATGATGGTTCTACGTGACCATCATGACCCTTCCAGATGGTGTGCTACGTGAGATGGTTTTTGGGCACTTGGGTGTAGCCCACGACCAACCTGCGGTCGGAATATTCACAACACTTGGACAGAGCCAAATGTTTGAAATCACCAACACACACATCGGATACTGAAAAGATTCAAACAAATGTTGGTATCCAGTGATTGATGCATTTGTTGGTTCAGCTATGGAATACTGCGCCGCCATTTTTGAAGAGCACATAGAGCGGCTTAGGTACGCAGATTTGCATGGCAGCAACACTTAGTGCATTGGGAAAACGTTGTTGAAATCAAGATTTTCCATGTTCCAGTAATTGGAAATTATTTCAATAGTTGGTGTTCCACTATTTTTATATATTTACATATACACATATGTAACACGTATAAGTATGTATAATCAACATTGTTCAACACATATTTGATTATATATATATATGTATTGAAATGATAGCAGCATATAATTCAGTCAACATTAGATCTATGTTACTTATGAATATTGGACTACTCTTATCATTCGATTTTGGGTCGAAGTTCCCAAGGTGTTCCACTCCATGAGTGCTTGAGCGGCTGGGGCAAACACTGGCAACAAGCGGAGAATGCCATGCTTTGCGACTTGGCAAGTGCGGGGGCCAGTGGTGCCTAGTTGGAGATGGCATGAGATGGTTGGGTGATTTTTCCATATTTGTCCCCCTTTGTTGAAAGCTACCATTGCGACTATCCGTTTGTAGCGGGTACTTTGACCATTTTTGGTATCTCGAAGGTCGAGGTATACCAGGTATACCAAAAAACTCTACTGGTTCGGCCCCCCCCCAGTGATGTTTGTTGGTTTATAAACCCATCTAAATATAGTTATTTGCGTATCATACGCCATTATTTAGATGGGTTGTTATAGTTATTATAGTTATTCGCACCAACTTGTTATTATAGTTATTTGCACCAACTTTTTATTATAGTTATTTGCACCAACTTAGCTAATGAACTGGGGCCCCATCCTGTAGTGATATTGGGGCACCGCCTTGCATGGATCAAAGTGTTAAACCAAAATTGATGGTTGAGTGATTGATACTATGCTTAAACGCCTTAAACGATATTCAGAATGATTCAAAATCACACACTTTCGTTAGAAAAACAAACAAATGATGATTCCTGATGATTGATATAGCCTCCTGTAATCTTGTAAAGTGTACATAGTCGTGGAAAACCCACCATTTTTGGATCACTTGCCGAACGGGTTTCCCCATGGTCAGGTTTCAGAGCGAAACAATTCATCCTGGTTGGTGCCCTCTAGTAATTTAACATAGCATAACATAGCTATGGACGCAATGGCCCATGAAAGTACAGTAGATGATTTACTCATTAAGTTAGTGATTGTGCATAGCTATGTTCAATTACCAGAGGATACATGTGTGTTCGTTTTTGAGAACCATTTTACAAGGGATGATGAACCGGAGCAGTGTTTTATCAACCCGACATGTTGTCCCGAATGGGATTGGGCGAGGGGCAATGATTCACTGCTGTACTTGGCGACACGGCTACCCCTCAAAATGTGGCTACCCTTTGGTAAACTAACATAGCGAACTGGAAAATCTGCATTTTGGATAAGTAAATCATCATACTTTCATGGGCCATATTCAATAGCTATGTTTTTCCTTTGGAGAGGATAGATATTATAGATTTGCCATATAGAATATATATAATATAATATAATATAATATAATATAATATAATATAATATAATATACGGTATTTTCGAATGAGATGATGTCCGCAGTGCATTCCACTTGGATAGTTCCGTCCGTTGTCAGCTGCAGAAAAGGTCATTAGGTCATCCCATCTTGGGAGCTTTCGGAGATTTTAAGGCAAAACAATATCTGGTTGGTGGTGACTGGAACCATGGAATTTATTTTGACTTTCCATATATTGGGAATGTCAGCATCCGAACTGACGAACTCGTATTTTTCAGAGGGGATGGGTTGAAACCACCAACCAGACAAGTTGTATAGCCCATATTTTCAGCGCCATGTGCTTGGTGAGTGGCAAGCAGTAACTCAAAAAAAGCTCCAGGACTCCAGGTGCCAAGCCAACGCCCAGGCACAGATAGATCTGCCTATGATTTGGGAAAGCAGATGCTTGGTGGAATCATTGTAGTGACAGCATTGATGAACGATGCATGAAGACCTGCTAGCTGCTAGATGGTCAGTGGTCATTTCAGGAACCTAAAATGAAGGTACGTTAGTACCATATAAGGCCATATTTTGTGGTGATATTCACTTGCATAGGCTTGAAATTTAGGCCTTATATATGGTAGGTACCTCCATTTTAGGATCCTGAAATTCCCATTGAGAGGGTGCTTGCTAATGGCAATTATTCCCAAAATTGCTATAAATTGCTGATTTTCTGGTTGTTATTTTAATTTGAATTGTTATGATGATTCATTCGGGCCTGGTAACATGAAGTTCCTCTTTCTATTGGCAGTTTTTCTTTTCTGTTGGCCTAATCCTTCTATTGCTCAGGTTTGCCACTTCCTGCTCAGGTGATGCAATAAACTCCCAAGCTAAACCCATGGTCTTGTCTAAGGTGCCATGGATCTATGGTATCCTGCGGTCCCAAGAGGAATACACTCAAAAAATTACCATCCTGCAATCAAACATGGACATTGACAGTTCCCCATTTATAGATTACATTCCCAGCTTCAAAACTTCATTTATGTGTTTTTTTCCTCAGGCTAGACACATGTTTTATTACCGGAGGGTACCTCAAAGCATGATGTCTGATACACCCAGACCCAAAAGGGTCATTGGAAGATCTAAGGATCAACCGGAATCACAACTCACCAGATTGCTCATTCCTGTTGATGTTAATTCCTGGTTAGTTGATGTTGTGATTGGTGTTGTGGTTAAGGAATTGTACCGGTTAATTGATGTTAATTCCTTTGTTTCTGATACAATCCCTATGGATCCAAAGACTTCCTTAGAAGTGAAGGTACTTGAAGTCCTGAAATATCCAAAATTATACCCCAAACACTTTCTAAGAAGGTACGTGGATCCATGCAAGGTGGCCGCCCGCACATTCTAAACGAGTTTTTGCTTACGGCCAGAATAGTATAGATATATCACCATTTAGTGACTATAAACTAGTTTATAATTTATATATAGATTTTTACTATCTGCTACTATAACTACTTCTATAGTCACTATCTGCTATAAACCCAAGTGACCAACTTGCTCTCATTTTGTCAGCTATAAATCCTATGAAATTCCCATGGTTTCCTGGTGATTTATCACCATTTTTCTATGTGTTTTGTTCTATGTTTTCTACATTAAATCCCATTAAACCCCATTAAACCCCTATGAAACCCCTATGAAACCCCTATTTTCTATGGATTTTACCATGGTTTCTACAGTTCCTCCGTGAAACATCCCGGGACTCCCGGAAATTTCACCGACGGTACCGAGGATCGAAGAATACGACGTCTTTCTGAGCCACGACTGGGCTACGTCTCGATACCTGAAGCCGCCTGGATACAAGTTGGGTCAACCTTCGATTGATACTATTATAGATTATAATAGTATAATTTATGTATATAGTTTATATAGTGTGTATATATATATATATATTTATTTAGTATACATACATATATATATATATACAGTGTATATATAGTATGTATATATATATATATATTAGTATATATATATATATATGTATATATATAATATATATATATATAGTATATATATAATATATATAGTAAATATATATATATACAATGTATATTGTATATGTTTACAGTAAATATATTGTAAATATATAAATCAAATATACATACAGTATATATTTATATATACGTAGTATCTATAGAGCATATATATATATATAGACATATATATACATATAAATATATATATATACATTTATATATACATATATATATACATATATATATACATATATATATGTATATATATATTAAAATAATACAGTACATATAGAATATATATATATAGTGTATATATAGTACATATATATATATATACTATGAATATAGTATATATTATATATAGAATGTATATATATATATGAATATATTAAATATTTAGTGTATATATATATATACAGTATTTATATATAGTATATATATTTATTTACATTCAGTATGTATATAGTGTATTTTTTTTATTTTTACACACCATATAATTAGATCTATGTAGTGTAATATAATAGATTTAAGTAGTATATATATATATATAGTATATGTATACTACATATTTAGTACATATATATAGTATATATAGTAGATATAGATATATAGTGTGTATATATATATATATTTATAAATACACACTTTATAATTAGATCTTTGTAGTACTTTAATCTTTTGCTACCAATATTTATCACTGGAATAGTATGTACTATATAGGTTGACAATATATATATATATATATGTAGATATATATATATATATATATATATAGTCATGTGGGTAAAACAATGCCATAAACCATGCCCCAAATCACAATTTTTTATAGGTGGTATGTTTACCATTCCCAAATGCTAAGGATGTTACTGTAGTATAAATTCAGTATAATATACTTTGATCTCTATATAATAAAGTGCTCAAGCACCAAATGAAGTATAGTTGCTAGCAGTACAATATAGTACTTTAATCTGTTGCCATCAATATCTGTCAATGGAACAATGGTCCATTCACCAGCTTAAAGCATGATTTTTGGCCCTAAGATTCACCATGATCTGTTTTGTTTATGGGATGGGATGAACTCTCGTTAATAGTGATTAATAGACTGTGGGGCCCCCAAGATAGCTAGGTTGGTTTGTAACATTACTATGGTCTATGATTTTTATAACTGTGTAGTTTAGATAATGAGGTTCATCAACCAAGTTATAACTGAGGGGGGCCAGACAATGTAGTGATTAATACATAACCATTAATTTGCAGTGATTAATAATGACTCATAGTGATTACTATCCTTATGATGTAATGGTGATTTAGTGGGATTTAGTGAGGTTCAATGGAATGTTATGGAATTCCATGGGGGTTAGTGAGACTAGCCCAATTTGATTTGGGACAATGGAGAGATCAAAACGGGGATTTCACCAGTGGATTTAGGTGATTTTAATGGGATTTTTTGATCATAAAGCAATGTCATCAACCACCCATTGATGGTTTATTGGAATTGACAAACCATCAAGCAATGGATTTATACCATATTTAAACCATCAAACTATCAAGTATTAATATTGTTGTTGGGATATGTATAAACTATCAAACTATGGATTTGAATAAGGTCATTTTTGATGGTTTATACCTTTGGTTTATACCTTTTCCGGTTGGAAATGGTGATGGTGGATCCTATTGATTTACTCAAAGATTAGCCCAAGTTCGTAAAAAATAGCCCTTGATTGGCTGAGTCGATGGGGAATTGGGTTTTCCCAAGTTCGGAAATCCACTACGACTGGGGAATTTATATGAACTATTTATGAATAGGTAATATTATGTCCATATAAATGGTCCATATCAATAGACTATATACTGTAAATATTATGGTAGAATTACTATTATGAATTTATATGGACTAATTATTACGCCATGTTCTAAGAAACTATGAAGCAATTATGGGATGATATGTGCCATGGTCACCATGGTGAAAACATGGGTTCTTTTATGATAGTTTCCGAAGTTTCCCGTACAAAAGGGTGTGTTACCGGTGTTACCCATTGCCAGGAATCACACATATTCGTGGGAGGACCATTCGCCATATACCATTATGTGACCTTGGCACCTATGGAAAATTATGGTATGACATGCGGAATCTCAGGATATCCGCTACCACCAAATCTGGCACATGCCCGAACCATGCATGTAAATGGGAAAATCATCCATACCCTCTGGTAAAATAACATAACTATGGAAAATCACCATTTTTAATGGGACAACTCACTATAAATGGCCATTTTCAATAGCAATGTTAAATCACCAGAGGGTAACTCCATAACCGGAAGATTGCCGAGTGCCAAAGCCCTATCAGTACAAAGTGGTGCCGGTCGGAATCGCTAAGTTGGCTTAGCCATATCATTGTCTAGAACTAATGGGGGTTATGAATAAAAGCCAATGTAAATTGGTTACTATCATGGTGGTGATTTGCTCTCTTATCTTTTTGGGGAATTATCCTTTTGCAATTAATTATATAATCAAAACTGGCAAGCAAAATTTCCTGAAGTTTATTGGTTTGTTGATTTCTAGATGATGTTTCCTCTCAGCAAATCGGACAATTCATTTGCTGCTACAATATCGGGTCTGAACATGGGGTAAGAACCTCATGTTCCTTATGAAGACTTGGCATCACTTGGTGGGCAAAACCACCATTTTTGAATAGACCTCATCATATCAAGTTGGTTAGATATAATATTGTATCCTCTATAATATTGTATCCTCTATATATTATACATATAATTATATATCACCAGAAGTTGGTTTACCAACCCCTTCAGAATCTTCACAAGAAAGAGCTCCCTCTCGAAAAAAACTAGACTCGGCGTGTTTTGAGGCTCTTTTCCATGATGATCATCTTCAACTCTAGGGCAGCCTTTTTTTGCTCCTTTGCAGTCACTTGGCACACATCGGCCCTGGGTAGATGTGTAAGCTTAAGCCACGACATGCACAGAAAACTAAGAACCTGAGTTTGTTACACAGGAGATGTGTTTTCGGCTGAAGATTGGTCCAAAATACATGTTTGGCTTCAGGAAAGAATACCAAATTCCATAGAAAATGAATGAACAGGATGATTTTGGATCTCGAAAGTCGTTCTTGTGCTTGGAAATAGGAATTGTAAGGGTTATATAACATTATATAACTTTGGAGAGTCTTTTCTGTAAGATCCAGCTTTTGTGTAGCATATCAGTGCATAAAGCATGATGATCGTCCTGAGGGAGCTGAAGGCAACCAGGTAACCATGTCCCATAGATTATATGAATATTTTTTTATTTATTTATATATATATATACATACAGCATATACATACTATATATATATATATGTAGAGAGAGAGAGAGACAGATCATATATACATATTTGCATATATTTATATACATGTATATATATATATACACAAATTATAACAATGCACTGTATATGTATATTCATGGATGTTCATGGATGTTCACCATTCTATCAAGCAACAGTGAGGTCAGCGTGTTGACTGGCTTCCTACGAGCCTATCAACTGATTCCGGATCAGATGTGGACCATTTGTTTCGGGTGCCGTCGGGTGCCGGGTAAATTTCTGGGTGAAGACCGTCAAGACCCGTGTATGTAAAAGAAAACAAAAAACATGGTGGTGCCCCAGGTCGTAATCACTAAGTTGGTTTAGTTCACTAAATGGAGTTTATAGTACGTAGATAGATAGATAGATAGATAGATAGATATATATATATTGATATATCTGCAACAGATCCTATATATATATATATATATTGATATATCTACAACAGATCCATCCAAGCTGAGCAGAGACCAACAGACATCACCGCGGCTTCACAACTTTTTGAAAATTCAATGAGAACATTGCACTGGGGCTACTGTCAGATCGAGTCAAGGTGGTGCTCCACGTGGTCATTGGCGAAGTTGGGGGCTAGTTCAATGGTTTATCTATGGTTTGCGGTGGATATGTACATATATATATATATATTTATTTATATCTAAACTCCATGGCTTTTATAAACCATTTTTTACCTATCACTGCACCTTCCAACCGCAAGGGTAAATACGGATACATATATGATTGCATACTGTACATATATATATAATTGCATTTTGTTATATATAAATATATATGAACCATTTGATGGTGACATGATGTGTTTATTGGCGATCATAGCTAGAGTAGGACATAAACCAATCATGACTATGGGGGTACCACCTTGTACCTGAAGCTACAAAGATCGGATACGGCCAAACACGCGCACCATCACAGGAAAAGTATCATACCTGGAATACTCACAATATTTCAATATCAAATGTGCTGTTTTGCACAAACCACTGCTTCTTTTGCCTATGGAAACCTGGAGACAACATCAGGACATTCCATAATTCGCATGTGAGACCTAGCTGTGAAAAGCAACCTTTCCAAATTTCAGGTTGCCTATTGAGCCCCGGTCGCTTTTCGCATGTTCTGTCCCCTTTCTTGTTGTTCATAATTACTAACTTCCAAATTTCAATCTCTGTTGTTGGGGTACTGAATGAGTCGTTATTGGTTTTGTTCGGCCTGGTTAAGGGTATGAATTATGCATAACGTGTCGGCTTCTATATCGGAGTGCCTTGGGCTGTTCCCTTCATGCGCTTTGGCATTTGAAGGGGGCCTTGTGGGTTTGTCCAATGGCAATGATTTTTGAAGGGAAAATGATCAGATATAAATTCTGATTGGTGGTTTCAAACATAACATGTGTATACATATATATATATATATATATATTGCGCACTATATATATACTGTTTGGGATGATGATCCAAATTAGCATGTTTCAAATGGGTGGCGAGCCCCCAGATCGTGGCCTTGTTCAGATACGTGGTTTACACGGTGGTCCTATGTTTTTGGCAGCGCCTTCGTCGACTTTGCTTCCGGCCTTTGATAGTCTTCGTGGACAAGTTGTGCATCGCACAGCATGATGAGGAGTTGAAGGTGCGGTGCGTTTGGGACTACAGGAACTAACCGCCCAAAAGGTGGACAAGATACTGGTTTGAACATGATAAATGGTGGTTCTAACCACTAAAATAAGGACTTAACCAATGAATTATGGTGTTTGGCTGTGTCTGAAAATAGGGATGTATACACCCCGAAAATTCAGATGTTAAGGGATAGGGGTAGATGAACATCCAAAACTTCAAAACCAGCGTACTATGGGGATGTGGTTTTCATTCGTGATTAACCTGCATGGGAAGCATTTCTTGACAAAACCTTCGTGGTTTGAAGTTGCCATCAATCTGGGTAAAAACCATAACGACATCAGCGTTTTACATCCCCATAGATGATGGTTCGGATTAGGAGTATCCCAACATCACCTGATTTTTTTTGTTGGTGATGTATCTTCATCCAGCCAGATCAATGATGGATTGACGATTGTGAAAGGCTTTGTGGATAGTTTCTGAGAATCTGATGAACTCTGCTTGTTATCTCAGCCACTGAGTTCACGTGCTGTTCTCCTGTAGCACCTGTTAGCAGTTCCTCAAACTGAGATGTAAAAAGGATAATTTCGCAGTGGGAGAACCTGGAGAACTGATTCGTGCAAATCACTGCAAAGCATCTAAAAACTCTATCACCTTTCGAGACAAAAATCATCGTCTCCAACGATCTTCCAGGAGAAGGGGATTCTGGCCCTCGCTGGTTTCTTGGACCACTCCAGGCGCGAGACCCCCGAGCCTTTCGCCGTTTTTCTGACGACATCCCATCCCAAACCGAACCAAAGAAGATGATTGGAATCCACAGAATCCCAGCAAGATAAGAACAAAGTTCCGGGACCAAAGCATATATACAATTATATATATATACTGTATATATATATATTATATACATACATATAATATTATAATATGTTAGACTAACATACCCCCTGATAATTTGATTCATAAATGGAAAGCCCACCATTTGTGGTTGATTTAGCAAAATAGTTAAAACTTTCCATAGCTCCAAGAATATGTGAGTTGCTGGAGGGTTAGAAAAACTCTTCGTTTCAGCACCAGAAATCCTGGAAAATCCCATCGCTTTTTACCCCGCACGGTCACGTGTCTGTTGGCCTTCTCCAGCTCTTCACAAAAACCCCTGGTACTGTGAGCAGACATAGAACAGAAGCTTTGTGAAATGTTTGCTCTAAAGGAAATTGGACTGAAAAGAAGACATGTGGTTGATGCAACCTGTTATTTCTTTGCGTTACTATGCTTTGCTGCCTGTAAGTAGGACGTTCAAGTGTGGGAATCAGATAGCTGCAGAAAATCATTTTGTAATGTTGCCTTGGCAAAAACTTTGCAACAAGTGTTGGCTTGTGCTGGGCCAATAGTAATCCCATTCCCATATGAAACACTTCATAGAATCATGGTCCCAGTCATATGTGAATTTATCACAGCCAAGAACATGGTTTCAATGATATTTTGATGGGTTAAACTGCCACGACGCAAAGAGCAGAACTCCCGTTTGTATTTCCACGCATCTTCCTGCGCCAGGAAACTGACCGTTCTTTGGTCAACTCGATATTTTCAGCGCCTCGGAGTGCGACGGCATGGGCATTGGCTGTAGCATTTTTTGGTTGCTTATATATACACATAATAATACACTTACCAGTTGGGGGGTGGTATGCACCATCGATAAAAGTCTTATTTTGATGTATGATTTATGAAATAGGGTCTATATACCAGATTATTTGTATTGGTTTATCAAACGTTCAATGATATTCACTTTTTTTGTTTGTGAGGATTGATTGACTATGTGTATATAGTATCTATCTATCTATCTATTTATCTATCTATCTATCTATCTATCCATCTATCTATCTATCTATCTATCGATCGATCTATCTATCTATCTATCTATCTATCTATCTATCCTATCTATCTATCTATCTATCTATCTAATCTATCTAATCTATCTAATCTATCTAATCTATCTATCTATCTATCTATCTATCTATCTATCTCTGTCTATCTATCTAATCTAATCTAGTCTAATCTAATCAAATCAAATCAAATCAAATCTAATCTATCTATCTAACTATATGTATTTCCCAAGCATCCAAGAACCTTACTAGCAAGTGTTTCGGGAATCATTCGGGACGTTAAGCATCTTCTAAGGAAGTGTTTGGATCCATAGGGTATATATCATTGGGTTTAGGGTTGATTTTACCACCATATTTTATTTAGGTTTATTATTGGGTATGGCCATTGATACTAGTGATCAATAACCATCAACAATGGTCAACAATGATGATTCATGAAATTGGCTTTACCACACTAAACATATCTTCCTAAAGATTATAATAAGTGTCAAAAAATTGTATGAATAAATACAACATATTGATTAAGAACATGCAATGAAATAGAAGATGAGAATATTTTGTTTGGTTTCTTCAAGTGTAATTCCCGTTTCGATTCCCATATAGATAGAATATATAAAATAGATACTATATTATATTAAATTATATATTTTATTATATTTGATTATATTATTTAGATTATATTGTATTATATTATATGTTATTGTGTGTTTTACGAAAAAACATCATACATACATACATACATACATACATACATACATACATACATACATACATACATACATACATACATACATACATACATACATACATACATACATACATACATACATACATACATACATACATACATACATACATACATACATACATACATACATACATACATACATACATACATACATACATATACATATACATACATACATACATACATGTATATATATAATATTATATATATATATACAACAAATTATATATATCATGCTATCAGTCATACACATCTTCAACTCCCCATCTCCCCGTCCTCCCGTCCTAACAAGGCGCTTGTGGTGCGCCTATGAGTTGGCCGCCTATTCGCGGGCCGAAGAGAAGCCCTTGCAGGTGATGCCCGTGGCTGGGCGACGAAAGGGGCAACGAAGGGCGAGGGGATGAAGCGACGTGAACCACAAAGGTTACTAGGGAAACCGAGAGAAATATGGTAGTTTTGATGTGAGGAATTTTAAGGGCAAACATGTGGGGCTTTGAGGATTTGGCTAGAATGGCTAGAAAAAATAGGAGGATCGCGGAGGATCTAGCGATTTACTTGGCGATTTCAGCAGCAAACTGGAGGATACGACTGAAGAAAATTGAGATTAAGACATCAGAATTGAGGATTTTAAGCACCAAATTGGATTTAAGTGACAAGAATGGAAATTGAACCAGCAAACATGGGGGTAAGTACACGGGATACGGATCATATTAATGGGAAAAAAGACAACTTAAAAGGGCGTTAAATTTAACCACCAGATATGTTTTGGTTTTCCAAAAGGTCGTTAATGAGTTCTCCCACTATCTACAAAACCCCAGGAAATTATCTACTTTCGTGGTTGGTCTTCCATATTTTTTGGTCAATTTATGGGAGGATTATCATCACAAAATGGAATATGGCTACGGACAAACTGGAAACAGATACAGTACCAACTATGGTTTTGCCATTTTGATGATGGTACTGTAGTGACCAGCAAAACAATATATAATGCAGGGTATCAACGATATGACATGGTAAGGGTTATCAACATAATATGTTTGATCTTACCAACAAAAATGGGCCAAGCAGAGGATTAAAACACCCATGGGGGATGATTATGCCATGGGGATATACGACGATATATTCAGTTATATTCAATTGATCTCAATAGGATATATTACCAACAATATGATCATATGACGTGGGTGTGTCCATCACTGGAATGTTGATCCCTATGGATTGCCGTTGAACATGAAGCCCTAAACCATGGGATGGGATCAAAACAATGGTGTCATTGCCGTACTTGGGTCTACCTGTGGTTGAGCTGTGCCAGTTGCAGTCCACTTCAAGTATGGGATCATTCTTGGACAATGACAGGAAGATAAAAAAAGAACACGTGTAAACATGTACAAAGCAACGCCCACCTGGAAAACATGCTTAATCTTCGAGGCTTCCACATTTCCAGGCTGTGACCAGCGACCGAGGTGAAAATGTCGGTGATTTTGGGCCTCATGACCCTTGGCCGATCGCAGGATCCGGGATGTATACGTTCCCCGTTGCACTATGGAAAATCCAATGGCCATGTTGGATTACTTCCACGGTCCAAGTGCATTACCAAAGAGATTCGTTCAAGGTTTGATGCTTGGTTTGGTGGCTTCGAACTACACTCCCAATCTGATTTCTGTAGGAATGATTTGCATTGATTTGCCACAAATGTGTTGGCAAGCAAGGAAAAGTGTTATTAAATCCCAACGCTTGTGATACACCAAACAAATCCTACATAGAAATATGTATTTCTCAGATATTTTCAGGTGTTTACCCACATTTCGCAACCTCTGAGTGTTGCGTTGCGGTTCACCTGCATGATTAGTTGGGTTGGTAGATTTGGGGAAGTCAACACGTTACAAGGGAATGTCAAGGATCCGGCGTCAAGCAGTCTGGAAATCCACAAGTTCATCATGGTGAAAAACCATGGGTTCCCATGGTTTTTCTCTATCAAAATGGCCATCAAAAATCCCGAGTTTGAAAACGCCCAGGTCCATTGAAGCCTGGTAAAAACTCACCTGAGTTTTGCAGGTTATCGTTTCTTGGAACACCAACTTCTATAAATCCCATGGACTATCATTTTCCCGGCGATTATTTCCCCATCACCTAGATGGTAAAACCACGTAAATGCTCAGTTTCAGCTACAGACTTATTTATACTTGCAGTTTTCTTTACATTTTGGTAGATGAAGTCACCATTTCTGTTTGTAACTTCCCTTCATTTTCGCAGGTGATCGAACTGTTAAAGAATGTTTTTAGATGTTTTTAGGTATAAAAACTTAGTGTTACAGGAAGCCTTATTCCCCGAACTTATACCGTCTGGTTATGAAGCATAGCTATGGAAAATGGCGCCCATTTATAGATGATTTATGACCATTCATCTCTTCGAAATGCGAAAAAACAATTGTGATTTTCCAGTTCACAAAGCGTTATTTTGTAGCATATAGGCTATGGTTTCCCCTGCGATCGCGACCGGAGCGCGACCTCCGCAGGTCCCTTTACTGGCATGTCCTGTCGATCGCCTTTCACGTCATTGCTTGGTCCAACTTTGGTGGTACCGATCCAGAAGCTGGGCTGAAGATGGTGGATGGTGGCTGATGGCTACCCTCTGGTAAACGTTTAGAGCTTAAGAACTGGGAAATCACCATTTTGAAGAGTTAGATCGACAAAAAAAAGGTGCCATTTTCAATAGCTATGTGAGTTTACCAGAGGGTAAATGGTGTGTAAATGTAGGCAGAAAGCCATCTGGAGGTGTTTGAAGTGATCTGGGATGACAACAATCATCAGACTGATGAAGTTTTGGACAAGAAACAGCTGATGACCTCTGGCTTTGGTTCTTATTTCGTGGTAGTTCATTGAAGAAAAGTAGTTTCCGGGACCCCTTGAAACCTCGGTAAAAAAAACAATATATATATATATTATGTATATTATATATATATTATATATATATATATATTATATATATATACATAGGTTTGACCTCTTCTATGTATCACATGCATCCATGAATGTGGCCGAAACACCACGGCCATTTGCCCACCCTCTGACCCTTAGTTATCCCCTGGTAATGAACCACACAGCTATAGGAAAAACATGGAAAACAACATTATTTAATAGGTAAAACATCTATAAATGGACCATTTTCCACGATTTCTGTTCAATTACCAGAGGGTCCAGGATTCAAGACATGTAAAATTGTTCAAGTCTACAAGATGTTGGTTCAAGCATCACCTTGTCCATCCACACAAGTGACAATTATCCCCAAGTGCCTACGTACATGATGTTTCTGCGGGTTGAAACCCAGCCAATCAAGTATGACAAGATCATTTGTTTGTGCACATGGTTTGAACGTCTTTGCACTTCATATTCTCATGATTTTGACTATGACGATTAGACTACGGTGTCATGAGTATTATGTAATGTGGCAAGCCCAATAGTAATCCATTCCCAAAATCACATGTTTTGTGGATGCTATAAACCATCCCCAAATAATACATAGTAGTTGTTTATGGCAGGGTTTCCCACATGGCATGTTTTATATCACTTGGATAAGTTGCAACTAGCACCATTTACATCCATTTACCATGTTTCCCATTTGGGGGCTTCCTAGAATGTCACCCAAAAAAAGTGCATGGTTTATTTCATGGAGAACCTGGACATAAAAGTGGATGAACATATAGGGAGTAGCCCTATTTTAGGAAACCTCCAGCCATGATTAATCCCCTATATCGCTTGGATAAGTTGGAACTAGCCATCATTAAACCACCATTTCCCACAGTTATGGCCCTTTATTAGTTATAACTGGTTATAAATGGGATTATACATTCTATAAATGGGGTTAGTTCAGTACCTATAACTGGTATTTCGGGCCATAACTGCATCAACCCAGCTCCAACCCCCGTGACCCAAGCCGTGACCCAACCTGTGATGGCCAGGTCTTTAGTCGGCGTTTGATGGCCAGTTTCTTCACCATGCTCATTCTCTGCATGTTGACACCAGCGCCTGGACACCACTACTGGTTGTGTTTCTGAAGGTTAGGATTAGCCAAAAGCCTAACAAGCCTATCATCCTATCTATATACTGATGCATATATAATGTATATATATATATATACACTGTATATATATATATATATGATTAACTGGGATTTACATGAGAATTACATGCATTTTAATGGGAGTTTTCATATGATTTTTATGGGATCTAACCACCATAAAAGCGAACCGGAAACCGAAACATGAATTCACCAGGATGTTCCATTCTAAAAACCATTGGTACCTGGTAAACTGGTAAACCAAAAGTTATAACCATGGTTATTAACCTGGTAATCAGACATGTATATGACCATAGTTATTAACCCGTGTTTTTTCCAATATTCACCTGGTGTCATCAGACATGGTTTGCCGGAAAAGCCACCACTTCGATGATTTTCCCATGGCATCATGTCCCATGGGATCAAACCCCCATTTCAATGGCACCAGCTGGATCCAACCTGGATCCAATTTGGTGGTCGAAATCCGACAGCAGTTGGTTACCATTGGATACCACTGGTAGTTATGAAACACTGTAAAGAATGGGATTAGACGGGGATGTTTACCATCTAGCAATATCTAGCAACTAGTGCAGGATTTCGCGCTCGCCATAAAACCACATCTCAGGGATTTATCACTGTGGAGGATTACACTTTAATCGACAGCCAATCAGGATTTTTTGTTGCCAATCAGGTGTTGAAAGTTGTTTGATACCTGACTGGCCAACCATAGCCTTCAACTACCAAAATTGCAATTTGGGGCATACCGCACCCAGATATTTTTGGACTCCAGTGTATATGCAGGTAAACGTGATTTTCTTAGAGTTCAGTTTCAGGGACGTGGCATTTTACCTGCATGTGATTTCACAACGATTCCATATGATTCGCATATTTTTAAATGATCAGCAGCTGAGAAACGCCCGGATTCTATGAGAAATGGGATTGCAGGCATGCCCCATTGGAGGTTTGTTTGCTTTACCACATGACAATCCACTTTTCTACACCCAGTTGCCACATGTATGCTGAAATGTTCGCATCCAAAAAAAATAACATAGCCTAACATTTACGCTGAGATTTACCAACATTTAGCCTTAACAAACAGCCCATTCATGATATTCAGCTATATCTTCCGTTGTTTTTTTCAGGAAAATCTACCACGATCTCCGGGGTGGGGTTCTACGTGGGGGTGCATCCCACTTAGTAAATGGCTTATACCTTCAGTTATATATGGAATATTCTCACTTATGGGATTATATGGGTTATGTGTGTATGTAAATACGTAACGACATTTAAATATGTGGAGGGCGGGCCAGACCGCAAGGCCCCGGAGGTAGTTGCAGTATGTTTAAATGAATTGGATTCCGTATGTTTAAATGGCTGGGCGGGCCAAGGAAAACCTTCCCGGAGGTAGTCTAAAATACCTGTTCGTATATTAAAAAATCCGTATATTCAAATGTAGTATTGCAGGCATGCCCCATTGGAGGTTTATTTGCTTTACCACATGACAATCCACTTTTCTACACCCAGTTGCCACATTTATGCTGAAATGTTCGCATCCAAAAAAAATAACATGGCCTAACATTTACGCTGAGATTTACCAACATTTAGCATTAACAAACAGCCCATTCATGATATTCAGCTATATCTTCCGTTGTTTTTTTCAGGAAAATCTACCACGATCTCCGGGGTGGAGTTCTACATGGGGGTGCATCCCACTTAGTAAATGGCTTATACCTTCAGTTATATATGGAATATTCTCACTTTTGGGATTGTATGGGTTATGTGTGTATGTATATAATATATATATATATTATATTGACATGGATTATAAACCACTTACTTAGGGGGTCCGGCACATCCAATTTACATATAATTTATACAAATCCATGTAAATTGGCTATATTTAATATACACAATCATATATAGAACATATATAAAGCATATACGAATTGGCGATATTTAGTATATAAACATAGTATACACATGTGAATTTCCCTTGAAATCCACCAAGTTTTTCAGGGTGTCTGCTACATCGGTCTTCAACTCATGAACGACTTGACGCAACTGCCACAGCAGCTGAAGAACTTCAGTGCCTCACATCGCAGCCGCGCAGCCGGGAAACAGCTCAAGAAATGGGGGGTTAGTAGTAGTAATTTACATGGATGATTTAAGATTATTATCATATATATATATATACACACTATCCACTATCATAAATGATTTGATGTAGATATGATATATATATACATACAATCATATATGAAATTACGTATACAAAATAGTATTATTAGATATAATATTAGATAATATTACATATATGCATATATTTGTTGTTTGCAGGTAAGTATCTAAGTGTAGCCATGCAATGATGAAATGAATGCACACTGAGGCACCTTTGTATTTATGCTCCAAAGAAAGAATTGAATCTGTTTCCTCAAATCCTTTGAACGTCTATGAGAAGTACTTTTGTTCTTTCCTGTCCCCGGAGGGTCTAAGTATATTTAGAACAGCCCCAACATGGGCACATAGGCAATTTTGTATTGTTTAGTAGCAAAGTATCGGCGAGACGTGCTCAGACATGCAAAGCATTGTTTGCCTGAGAAGGATGGATGGTTAACCGCCCAGAAATATGTTTCGCACACTTTTTCAACCCCGAAACACCAGGTACTTTATACCTGGTAGGTGTCAAATATTTCAATTTTCATTGGGCGGTGCCTGTCCAATGACATATTTTCAAGAGCGGCTCAAGGTGGCAGCACCAAGCCATCAGAGCCTTCATCGAAAAACTCAGTGGTGGAGTTATGGTTAAGTTTCCCGAGCTGCCTCAAATTTGCCAGTCCTGTTTCATCATGTTTATTATTTGGGGATGGGTCAAGACCGATTATTCTATATGTCATATTTGGGAGAATAAAGGTCCATTAAGCAGTTTTTTTTGGGGGTACCTACGGTATCAGGGTTTTGACCACCATTTTTCGGCTGAAATCTGCTGCTCCTTTCCTCTGCCAAGGAATCCAAGAGTCCAAGTGTTTTTGTTGTACCTCGAACCACGTTCATCCAGCGCCGAAGCGAAAATGGAGGGGATGCAATGGGACAATGACCAAGAATATTCAATACGTCTTGTATTGAAAAAACAAAAGCGAAGCAAACATGGATTAAAACAAGATTGGTATAGTTATATTTAAAGTTTGTTTTTTTTGACCAACATATTTGGTATGTTGTTGTTTTTGAATCCGAGAATGATTAAAACGAACAAAGAAGTGATAGCCCGAAAAATGGCCAGTGATTCCATCAGAATCCCACCGTTCGTGACTCGTGAATTGTGCGTCAACTTTGCCATCATAAATCGGTGATGTTCATCCCATTAAATCCCCTTTCTATTTCGATCATGTCAGTTTTCTTCATCCCATGTTGGGGATTAAGTCACCATTTCCTATCGTTTTTCCGATATGTTTTATCATCATGTTTTCTATGTTCATCCCATCTCGGGGAAGAAAATTAAATCACCATGTTCCTATGGTTTTTCCAATGGTAAAATAGATCCTCACCATGTCTGGTCCTTCCGTATCTTTCGGAGGTCACTGGGAGGCGAATGATCTGCGACCGTTCACTGGTCTTCCATACCTTGAAGAAATGGCGACCTGTCGAAGTGATATCTCTTGGGAAGTTCTATCTGCGGTGTTCCCCCCCATACAGTTATGGCCATTTATTAGTTACAACTGGTTATAAATGGGATTATACATTCTATAAATGAGGTTATAAGTACTAATATGTACCTGTAGCTGGTAAAGGGCCATAACTGTAGTGATGTTTGGTTGGTTTATTGCGCTTTTAGTTAAGGTTTATGTGTTTTTTTTTACCTCCCATCAACTATAATAACTATAAGTTACCTCCAAGTGATGTTTGTTGATTTATAGCATTTTATAACCTCTATTAACTAAAAGTTACAATTGGCATGAAGCCCAGTTAGACTTAGCCAAGTTAGGGGGCACCACCTTGTAGATGTGTCGTTTTTCTTGGGGATCCACCAATAAAAAACCATGGGTGCTAGCATAACTGCAGGCTCCCAAAACACAATCCAACAGCCCAAAAATGGGGCTTGCAGTTATGGCCACTTATTAGTTATAACTGCTTATGAATGGGATTATACATTCTATAAATGGGCTTAGTTCAGTACTTATAAGTACTTATAACTGGTATTTCGGGCCATAACTGTTTCAGAGTACTTTTGTTTTTTCCGGGACGAGATCGGGCTCCGGGCCAGGATCCAAAAATCCAAATCTCGGGCCATTCCTGGAGATGTTGAGCGTTTGGATGATTTTGGATGTGTATCTTATAAATTGATACCCAAAAACAAACTCCATCTCAATTGGAATGCAGATTCTGTCTATGGCCCCTGAATCTGCTAAGATTCTCGGTTTGTTTTGTTACTAAGTTGCATTCGCAAATTCTCACATGCGATGGCCAATGTTTTTGTTCGGTGTTTGGAAGGCATTTCTTCATTTCAACGAACACAACAAACTCAGGCGGTTTTTGTTCAGCCGTACCTTGTATTTCCCATAATTTCAGACCAGGTTCGGCTCGCGAGCAGATCGAGACCTAGAAGAAGGAAGCCATTTGGAGCTTTTTAATCAAATGATCCAGCAGGAGTTCCCTGGCTTTGTTTATTTGCCTTGATTGTTTTTATGTTTCACCCCTGGGCAATTGAATCATGACGTTTTTTTTTTGGGGGGGGGAAGATGTTTGTTTTGGTGGTTTAAAAGGTGTTTTTGTTGGTTTTACCCATTGGAAATCCACCATGGGTCAAGCAAATCCAAGCAATTCCAAGGTTAAGCCAGTCCATCCTTCAGACCGTTGGAGGCTTTGCTGTGACGGTGACAGATTAAGAACCCACCAACATAGCTCTGGTTGGTGGTTTCAAACATTTGTATTACATTTGTATACATTTGTTATTTTTCCATATGGGTATGGATCAATACCTCTTAATACCATTTTTAGGGGGATGAACATCCATTTACCAGCTATTTTGATGTTCACCAGGGGTACAAGGTTTTGACACACTGCCATATATTGGGAATAATCATCCCAACTGGCAATTTTTTTTCAGAGGGATTGAAACCACCGTAGCCAGTAGCTGGATCCCCCCAAAATGAGATTATTGAAGCTGAGTTTCCGACTTTCGAGTAAGGTTCCCAAAATTGAGAAAATTGATTCAAGCGCCTCAAACAATGCCCTGTGTTCAGGTGTCAGCATTTTTTCTGGACGACTCTCTTTGTGCGTTTGTTTGGGAGGCATTTTTGAGATAAGAATACGATGCTATAAGGCTAATAAATGACTTCAGAACCTGGAGTTGTTGTTTACTAGACAAATAAAGCAAGCAGCATGACCACCAAAAAGTTGGCGTACTTGATTGGTGCGGTGATGAATCGGTCTCGGAAGTTGGCGTTATTTATGGGGGTTATTTGTGTGATGTAAGCCTGATTTTGGGTGATAAGATTGGATGAGCTATATAGCTCGTTCTGCTAGAAAGCCATAAACACTTGAGGCGAGGGGGGAGGTACAAAAGCTAGCAGGACGCTACTAATGTTGTACCGGAGACCGCTCAGCGGCCAGAGAAGATTGGATTGAATCATCAACATACATACCTTATTTTTCAAATGATTTTCAAGGTAAAAGTGTGTCAGATGACGGGCGGAAGTGTGGGAAGAGAGAGAGAGAGAGAGAGAGAGAATTGTGGAGCGACATTTGGTGATGAAATTGTAGAAGTTGAATCATTGACGTTGACATTTTGTGTCTTGTGGACTTTGTGGGAGATGGAAACTTAGTATGTTTGAGAGGGATTAGACTAGACTGAGCACTGAGCCGCAGTGACTTTCCATCTCTCGAATCTTGAATCAAGGAATCTAGTTCTTCAACAGATTCACCCTGCACTTTTCGCGCAAGCCAAGGATCAGACACTGCGCCACTGAGTTATTGCATCTATTTGGTCAGCCGCTTGCTTGAATTACATTGAGTTACCATACTGAAGGTTGTGGAGGCTAGAAAATCCAGCGGTTATTTGTCATCATTTTTGCCATGAATATTGCCATATTAGGAGAATTTTGGAGAGTAAATCCTAGTAAATCCCCCATGCTGAGTGTTGTTCTTTGTGATTTGGTGGACTTTTTGTAAGCCAATGAGAAGAATGGACGAGTTAGCCTGATATTGCTTTTTTTTTGCCAGCTGAGCAAGCGGAGATGACATGTCGATGGAGATGTGGGCAATGACTGGTGGTTTTCGACCCACAAAAAGGCGTATCAATAACCTGTGGCCTATGGGGAAAGCTATGTAGGACATGATGGGCCTCAGGGCGCCCGCTCGTACCCTATGGATCCAGTCCTCAGAAAGTTGAGGTATGATTTGGTACAGTACCTTCTTAAGGAATATTTGGATCCATATATATATAATATAATATATATATAATATTATAATATATATATATATGTTATAATATATATATGTGTTATATTATATATATGTTATATTATTTATATATATTATAATATATATTATATTATATATAATATTAGATATATATATATATTAAATAGTATATATAATATAATATTTAAAATATAATATATATATAATATATAATATAATATAATATAATATAATATAATATAATATATATATATATATTTATATATATATATATTATATTATATATATACATATATAATATTAGATATATATTATATATATATTAAATTATACGGATATCTATCTTTCTGCGGTGACTGGGACGCAACACACTTTTTCTTGAAGCCCAGGTGCAGGAAATGTTCCCTTCATTGCGCAGTACATTGCGCGCATTGTGACTTGGAGCTCAAGGGTTTGGGTGGGAAAATCACCCGGCACGAGTTAGAAAAGTGGATTCAGTGTTTCGTAGTGTTTCTGGGGTTCACGGCTCACCCCCATTTGTAAAGGGGATACAGTTATCCCTAAGTGTTTCTGGGGTTGGTTCACCCACATATCCATTTATAACGCGGAACATCGATACGTGGGATCCGCCAAATAGCTGGTGATGGTGATTGGAAGTCCCCATGACTAGAACCGAGGGGCCTCAGAGTGGCTTTCGGCTTGCGTAGTTATGCTTAGTTTACCATGGTTTAAGCATGTTTTAAGCATGTTTTAAGCATGTTTTAAGCATGTTTAAGCAATTTGCTTGAAGTAGGTTGAACTCTAGCACACGTCTTGATCCCAAGAATCCAAGACATGTTAAGATATGTTTAGACCCAATTTGTGTAGACTTTGAAATACTTGGAACATATACCCAGCCAGCCACCATGGCGTTCGTTAAAGCTGCAAGGCGGTGGGCCTGCGTGGAGAAACTTCAGTGCTGAATCATTGCGTAGCTCGGCGGTTTTTGGGGCATCTCAGGCGTCCTTGGACCGTCCAACCGTTGGATCTAGGTTTAAAAATGGCATCATGGGGGTACCCCCTACTTTCATCCATTTGTTAATATAACTGGTTGGTGGTGACTGGAACCATGGAATTTTGACTGACTTTCCAGAAACAGTTGCGAATATTAATCCCGTCTGACGAGCATATTTTTCAGAAGGGTTGAAACCACCAACCAGATTATTATTAACCATCATTAATCATATAATAACCATATATTAACCATCATTAACAGTATATTGACCACATAAACCAAGATTTTCCCTGAAATAAACCAAGCATTTTGAAGATCCCCCATTGATGGAAACCGGCAAATCTGTTGGGTTCCGCACCCAAATTGTAACGTGGCGATTGCGTTCACACCATTGACACCGTTGACACCGTTCAGGTTGCTGCTGCTCGACAGTCCCTTGGGCCGCCTTGGGTGACGATGTGGCAGATGTGACACCCCTGATGACTGGAAGGGAAACACTAGAAGTGCTGCGGGTAATTAGTCGAGTTTTCATGTATTTTCAGTAGGTTTACCTTCAATGTGCTCCCTCTTCAGGCTCACATGAAACTGAAACTGATCTGATATAAAAGTGAGAATTGGGTGGTAGTGGTCGAGTGGCCCATGTACCATCTTCGCAATTCAGAATTATGAATATCAGGGATCATCAGGACATACTTAGATTGTTCTTCAATATTTGGTGGTTCTCAGTAAATTCTCTTGTTTATTTCAAAATAACGACGGGGCCCGGGGAGGCCCCCAAGATGGCAAAGTTGTGGCACCTTGTTAACTGGGTCCCTTTCTGTTCATTTATGGGGGATATGTCAATGGTCAGGATCCTAAAATGGAGGTACGTTAGTACCATATGTTTGGCCATATTTTGTAGTGATATTCCCTTACATAGGCCTGAAATTTAGGCCTTTGGTCTATGGTAGATACCTCCAATAAATCGGTTCCTGAAATGGCCATTGTCGGGGCCTCACAGCGGCTCCTCCACAGCGCGGCGTAGGTTGATGTCTTGGGGAAGCCTGTCACTGCTTAGTCACCTGGCGATTGAGCTGCTGCAGGGATGGGATGGGATGGATTACCATGTAACATAGAATTTTGGCAAGTAACTACCTATAAAATACTCTGTATATATATATCTATACATAATACTATATATATATAGTAATATATAATAATATATATATAATACTATATATATAATACTATATATATATATATATTGTACTATATATATAATACTATATATATATTGTACTATATATATATGATACTATATATATATTGTACTATATATATATAATACTATATATATATAATAAACTATTGTAATATTGTATAAATATATGGAGAGGTAGTAACTCCTTATTGGCTGGTCTTATTGATTCTTTGTTTTGGCCATGATTTCGATCACGGCAGATGCCGCCTTTCCCAAGATGTTTTGTCCAGCATAGCCATATTAGGAAGCCATGACAAGGTTGTTTAATGCTTGAATCTGCACATGGGCAATTTTCCATGGCTATCTTAAGTAACCAAAAGGCTATCCATTTTTTTTTTACCATGTGTGATTCCTCAAATCTTGTGGGGCAGCAGGTATTTGTGCAGTGCGCGTGAGCATGGTTTTCTGGAAGTTGGGCCTCCGCCTTTCCAGCAACTTCACAGCAAAGTTGGCAGTGATTTCACCCAAAGATGAGGCTGAACATGGTGAAATATCGAGTATGAATCACTTTGCAAAGAAAAAAATAAGGCAAACGCATACGGTTTCACAAAACACATACTCTGTTCATTCCTTCATAGAGCCTGTGTTTGGACTCCCTCAGATTCCTTGAAATCCGAGTTGGAGTCCTTCTGAAGAAAACGGACGAAGTCAGACTAAAACGTTGAGTTGAAGAGTGATGCGGAGAAAAAATGCGGGTTTGAACATCATCTTAAATCCCCAGTGGGGAGATGAAGGCGTCCTGGCTTCCTACGTACATATTAGATCCATCTATTCAATTTTGGTTGCTCACCCCATTTTGGGGGCATGGCTTTATGGTTTCACCAGCAACCAGCAACCAGGTGGTCAATTCTGTGACTGTCACATTCTCTGGACATCAAATCATCCTTAAATCCATCCTTTTTGTGGCAGAAAATCTCTAAAGACTCTAAAGTTGCGGGTGTTTGGCTACAGTTGATTAATTATATCATCATCAAAAAAGGGTTTGTCAGTAAATGTCAGTAAATTTTGGTATTTCCATGTCAGGAAACTGATGATGCTAAACAGCACTGGATTTAGGGGTACCCCATTGTCAGATACCGGTATACGCACACATGGAAATGGACAATCCACCATTTATATACAGTTATGGCCATTTATTAGTTATAACTGCTTATAAATGGGATTATACATTCTATAAATGGGGTTATAAGTACTTATAACTGGTAAAGGGCCATAACTGTATAATCCCATTAGCACCTGAATCTATCAATCGGGATGGCTTACCACACCATCCACACCAATTGCAAGCGATCTTTCTAAGGCAAGAGTGCCATCAACTCAGGCTGCGTGGTTTCTGTGCCTGGAAATGCGTTTCAAAAATGCCTTTTGATGCTGTTTGGTTGAGGGTTTCAAGCATATTTGGGCATTCAACATGTTGCACGCACAGGGACCACAGAATGGAATGTCTATGTTTAGTAAAGTAGTAACTTAGTAGCTTAGTATATTTAATTTATAAATATTTATATGATTCTTGGGGTACACAATTTTGAATCATACCCATTTAGCCACCACGAATGAGAGTTTCCCAAGCGGGATGAGCTCACACACCAACCACAATGTTTTCGTTGACCGGGAAAGGAACCAACATGTTGGAGGTTGAAATGATGATAAGATTGAACAACGGGAGATAACTTTAGAATACTTAAGATAATCTAGGGACAGCAGTGGTTTAATCGGTGATGAATGATCCACATACTTGCAATCTTTCCTCCACCAATTAGTAGCATCGGGATGACTCAGAATGATTCGCCTGCCTTGGCAACATAGAAATCCAACATCCACCATTTGTGCGTCGATCATTTCACGGTGATTACATGACAGCTCCAAATTAGACCCGAAAAGATAACAAGAGTTGAGACCCCAGCAGCACAGAGAAGATAGGCTTTCATAGATTGTTTTGTAAAACAACAGAGCAAACAAAATTATTTTACTTCGTGTGATCCCCATCATGACCTTTATACATTTTCTTACTGGCAAATCTTCTGGCATTCTATCGGACATATCTTCTGGCATTCGATCTGGCATTCTATCTGGCATTCTATCTGGCATTCTACCTGGCATACCTTCTGGCATTCTATCTGGCATAATTTCTGGCAATTCTTCTGGCATCCTAACTGGCATTCTATCTGGCAAATCTTCTGGCATTCTATCTGGCAAACATTCTGGCACTTTATCTGGCATACCTTCTGGCATTCTATCTGGCATATTTTCTGGCAATTCTTCTGGCATCCTAACTGGCATTCTATCTGGCAAATCTTCTGGCATTCTATCTGGCATATCTTCTGGCATATCTTCTGGCATTCTATCTGGCCGTTGAGGTCCGGCAGTGCCCACTGGGATCTGGAGCTCGCGGTTGAGGTCCGGCAGTGCCCAACTGGGATCTGGAGCTCGCGGTTGAGGTCCGGCAGTGCCCACTGCGACCTGGAAGTCACGGTTGAGGTCCGGCAGTGCCCACTGCGATCTGCAACTCGCGGTTGAGGTCCGGCAGTGCCCACTGGGATCTGGAGCTCGCGGTGGAGATCCGGCTGTGCCCACTGGGATCTGGACTGCGAGGAGGAGGCGGCGGGTGAGGAGGCGGAGGAGGCAGAGGAGGCGGAGGAGGAGGAGAAGAGCTCTGTTAAAATCTAGCAACCCTCACCTGGCAGGTGGGGAAAAAACAAACCAGAAAACCAAAAATAAGAAAACAACAAAAACAAACCAAGACAAAAACAAAAAACAAAACACCAACAAAAAAACTTGGAAAATCCAGGTTTTGATTTATTTGTGTTTTTCTTGTTTTTTGTTTATTCTGGTGATTTTTCCTGTCGAGTTGTTTTTTGGTGATTCTTTTTGTTGATTGTGTTTTTGTTTTTGTTTGCTAAAATAAACGTTCTCTGTTCTAGCCGGGGTCTTAAAACAAGAGCAAATAACATAGCAACATAGGTGCTATTTTCGGGTGGTCACTGCAATTATAGATACTGCAAGCAAAAGTGATCAGTTTAAACATGTCAAGTTGTCTAAATGATTATCAGTATAATACTGTCACGCTGATAACATGTCATCAGGTTTCAAAGCTGTCATTTTGTGTATATATATAATGTTGAGACTATAGATATTATATCAACATTTTCTGATATAGGTATTTTAACTAGCATATTACATGTCTAAGATATGTTTGACTAGTATCAAAGTTCTAGCTATAGATTGTCTATAGATACTCTAACGGTATTAGTACAGGAACTCTACAGCTATTCAGCACAGTTGTTCCATATGTGTGTATCAAAACCATTGCTAGCTTCTCTCGAGTCATGAGGGGTGGCTGTGAGCGATGCTTTGACAAACACCAGGAATACTTGTTTGTTCTTTCATTCTACAGTATATCTATGGTGGTTTCCTAATATTTGGGTACTTGTACCCCAATAGCTGGATGGTTTATAATGGAAAATCTTACTAAAATGGATGATTTGGGGGTACCCCCATTTGAGGAAACCTCCATATATATATATATATTATACGTATATATATATATATGGCTATAGTTGAATATTATAGTTATATCATTATCATATCAATACTATAGTTATACCTAATATATATATATAATTACCCACATATACAAGGTGAGGCCCCCCAGTTACATGTTGTTTTATAACCCCTATTAACTCTAGTTATATCACCCTACAAACCCACACGTTCACCAGTCGTGAACTGGGCGTGAAATATCACCATGATCTGGCAGAATCCGGTTTCAGGCTTCAACGGTCTTCGAGGTCTCTACTTTACACCGAACAGTTACCATCTGGTTATTTAACATAGCCATGGAAAATCCCAACCATAAATGGAGGTTTCTAGCTCATGGCTTCCATGGCTATGTTAAATAACCAGAGGGTATAACTATAGTAGTTCTGTTTATTCAACTTAGCATAACTCAGCTAAAACATCCTCAGACATAGATCTTCATCCCATCCAGGAATTCTTCCATGTTTCAATTGTGTTTCTCTCCAGTGCCACACAACGCCACTAAATCACCATTTCAACACCACTTTCCAGTCATGGCAGCCCTAAACGCGTCCCAGGTGTTTGTCTCTCCATTGATTGTGCTGACCCTGTCGCTGCTGTGGCTGCCCTTCCAAGCGACTTATGCCTGGACATCCAGCTACAGCAGCCTACCAGCCATTCCCTTCGGGATTGCTACCTGGCGCACGAGCAGGTGATGTGACTTCAACTACAGTTCCTCCTGAAATCAGGTGACTTCAAGGTTGCAGACAATTCCAGATTTCCAGCGATGTTTTGTGGGAATTGAAAGACTTGTGATGTTTGTTGTGCTTAGTTGGTGTTTTGCCTTCGAATGGGTTACCTATCAAATCAATTGCATTCCGCCTTCGAAAACCGAGACAAACCTTAGATTTCGAAACAGCCCTGGGTCTCTGCTATGTCGATTTGTTCTACAGGGGTTCACTGCCATATGTTTGGATTTTTCTTTACCTCCCCCCAAAACATCACAATATATATATATATAACAGTAGGAACACAATGATAAACCATCGGCTTTTGAGGTTCCCCTTGAAATTGTAACAACACGACATGGATCCGTAGCATGTTTTCCAGAGTTTTGCCTAGTTTTAGTGACCAGATCCGTAGGGAAGAGGAGGGAACTTCGCTTCTACAAAGTGGTGCCCCAGGTCATTTGCTAAGTCTATCTATTTGTCTGTCTGTAGCTAGCAAGCTATCTAGAGAGGTGGCTGGATAGATAGATAGCATAGCTAGACAGATAGATAGTGCTTGCTTGATCTAAAATGTACCCTCTGCTAATTTAACATAGCCACCGAACATTGCTCATTTGTGGATGCTTTACCCCTTAAAAGATGTGGATTTTCCAGTGGAGGCACCACCCTGTAGCGCGGATCAATGATGATCCTGTCGGTAGTTGACCCACCTATGGGTAAATGATAGCCGAGAGGTGGGAAATGTGCTAATATGATAGAATCTTACAAAGTGAGGGCCCCCGTTTACGATAGCTGGTTTAGGTCCGGAATTCGATGGTTTTTGGTCGAGATATCGAACTAGTTGATGGGCTTATAAACTGACAAATAACTGGGGGGCCTCACCTTGTATTATACAGATATACGATATACAGTACCTCTTTATCATTCTTTATCTACCATTTCTTCCCCCCAAACGAATTTGGGATGACCTAAGATGTTGACCTACCTGGGGGCCCCAGGTCATTCTGGTCACATTCTATCTCTTTGCACCTACCATGGGCATTGCCTCTCGGCGGGACCAACATCTACCTTTTTCGCTGCACCAATCTGGATTTAAGGTATGATGTTGCAGAATGATTGGATCATCATGCCTTTCTGCCTGGTGCTTTGCTGACGAAGTCCATCATTTTTCAGAGGGGTAGGCTCAACCACCGTCACCAGCTTTGATTCATTGGATTCATTAGATCGCTGATGATAGGAAGTTGGCTGATGATAAATGACATTCTGTTTGGCACCCACCAGTTCAAAGCTCCGTTTGTATATGTATATATATATATATATTACTTATAGTATTAATGTATGTTATGTATATATATATGTATATGTATATATATATATACATATAAATGTATATAATGTATACAAGCCACTTTGGTGAGTCGCTGCATTTGGATACCGTAAGCGCTTGTTCCTTCAAAGACTGCAGTAACTCCCACGGGTCTGGCCACGTACATCCTGAACTAATCTCACCAAATAAGGAAATCTTATTATTGAACAGCATTTTTTTAAGGGACGAGAGAGGGTTTTTAGCACTGCTCACGTAAACATTCCGCCATGTTGGTGTTCTTCTCATAATTTTGCCAGCTGATGTTATTAGTTGCTAAATCTGTATACACAAATACACATATTGGCGATGTTCCCTGTTGTGGGGGTCACGTCCCTGATTTGTGATACCTTAAATCATCATTGTTTGGTTGTACACATGTATGTATGTTTATAAATTGTTTATATATATATATACAGTATAGATACATGATTGGTGAGATCCACAGCTTGGTCTCTGAAGTCGACATTTTGCTGTTTCTCTTGTTAAGAATCTGGTCCGTAACATATTGTTTCATGGTTTCAATTGATTTTTCGTTCCAATCGATTTTTCCATGCATAACTTAACATGTGGTTCATTCTTCTTGCTTTCACTAATCTCATTCTTTGCTTCGCAGGTTTGATCACACAGCGTGGCTCCAAGCTGTCAGTGTTTATGATCCTACGAGGGGGTGAAATCGGTTAAACCATCATGATCCAACCCTTAGTCACATTAAATCCCACAATTGCTTGAACCGAAAAATAGCATAGTTTCCAGCCAGAATTTGTATCAGAAAATGAGTTGGCTGATTGCAAAATCGGAAACCATGGCTTTTATCATCCAATTCTGGGATATCTGAGTGTCATATGCCTATGAGACCAGTGATATGCCAAGAATCCCCATATTTTTCACAACATCCGATGGGTTTCCCCTGGGAAAGCCACATGATTTTCGACTCTCCCAGGCTGCAGCCACGTCTCAGAGAGGCTTAAGGCAGAAGCTGTCGGATCGCTATCGACGGAGCAGGAAGAAATCGCGACGAGGCCGGGCTGGGGTGCTTGGAAATGGTGAAAACTGGTTATTTAATGGTGATATACTAGGGATATATATATATATATATGTAATAATAATAATAACAATAATAATAACAATATATATAATATATATATATTTAATTATATATATATATTTAAATATATATATATATTTATATATATTTATATATATATATATTTATATGAGGATGTAACCATATGGAAACAAACAATTAGTTGTGATATAATAACTGATTAATTAGTGGATACTAGTGGTGATATTTTCTTGTGGATATAGTAAACAGTACACTAATGATATGGTGATTTATATAAGGATACAACTGTTAAAACCAAGCAAAACATATCACATGGAAACATGGAACCCTGCTTGAGAGTAGAAGTAGGATATGTTTTTTCCTCCAGGCACGTAGATGCTCTATGGAACAGGACTCACATATACTTATATGTATATAGTATAATATATATATATATATATACACATGTATTACTATACATGTTATTCATATATATATACATATATATACAATACATCTGGAGCGAGAGACCATGTATACATATATATATATATATATAGATAGAGAGCACCTCCGTTAGATGTTAAAAAAAATCATTGTGAATATGCTACAACAGTGGTAGTGTCAAACCCAATGATAGCATATTGAAGTAGTGTATATAAATAGATTAAGATATATAGCAACCCAAAAAAACACAAACACATAATCCTAAAATAGTGATCTACTGAGGATTGCTATACATAGTGATGGCGTCATCCAAAATTGGCATTTAACCGTGGACATGGTGAATTCAATCAGACCACAACTTGGGATTTAATGTGACTTTTTTCACCAATCCCAAGAATATACAACCAATATGTGGTGACAATGTTTCTCACCACCAAACACTGGAAGCACAACTGGACTATTCACCGTGACCCACACTTGGTTCACGGTGAATGTGTGGGGTTGATTTCCCATCAATTTATCAAATATGAAACATACAACTGATCCTGTACTGGATAAAACAAATTGATAACTGGAAAATCCAAATATCCCACAATCATGGAAAGTAATAAACTTATCAAATATGTTATAGTCTCCTGTAATCAAACATGACTAAAATAGGAACATCTAATGAATCAATGGTGGCTTCGCTGGCAAATTCATCGAAGTAAAAGGTCGCTTTTCCAGCAGACCATGTTTGATTAGCAGAATTTTGACATAACCAGCGGACTTCCGATTGGTAACTGCTCACTTTTATGGGATGATCCTCCGTTAACAACCTGGGTTGACAAGCCGGCTTCAGGGTTCGGTGTTGGATTCCTCATGGCAAAGCCTGGTGAATGGGGACGCCCCCTGGTGGTTGGCCAAATTGTAGGTTAAGTGGTTAACTATGTTGGGTTTATGGTAGATAAAGCATGATACATCGGACAGATTTAATGGGGATAACAGAAAGCAAAGTTTGCATAACAGAGGGGGTACTGTACCACATTGTAGGAATCATACATGGGTATACTGAATGTGTATACAATTATATATACGGTAATCACATTTAAATATGTGGTGGCCGGGCCAGGGCAGTCAGGCTCGGAGGTAGTATGAAATACCAGTTCTGTACGTATGTTTAAATGGTAGGGCCCACTCCGCATGTTTAAAAAATTGCAAACCACAGGGAATATATGCAGGTAAATGGTAAATGGTCCAAATATATGGTGCTGATGATTTGGAACACTCTATGAGTCGAGTTGTTAAAGTTAGACCCAAAACAATGGTATTGAGAGCGGCCTGTGGGATTGCTACACAATCATCAGATGGAAATGGTTGTACTGTACTATAGGATTTTGGCTTTGGTGGAATTTCCTTTCATTAAAAATTCGAACTGGGTGGAAGCGCCTGGCTAGAAATTGCTTGCTTCTCTCTTTCTTGCAAGAAATGTCCTAGGTGGAGTTCCTGGGTGGAAGTTCCTTGCTTCTTGGGTGGAATTCCTAGATGAATTCCCTAGGTGGAATTTCGCGGGTGGTGGTGGAAGTTGCTTGTTTCCCGCTTTCTGCGGAAAAAAAAACCTGGGTGTGATTTCTTGGGTGGGGTATCCTGGCTGGCAATTCCTTGCTTTCCTTTGACTTGGGGAAAAATTGCCTAGGTGGACTTACCTGGCTAGAAAGTGCTGGCATCTTTCTTCCTCAGCAAGACTTTCCTGGGTGGGGTTTTGTGAGTGGAAATTCCACCTAGGGCCTAGGGAATTTCTCTGCAGACAGAGGGAAGCCAGCAAATCCCTTAAATTCCAAAAAGGGAATTCCAAGAAGGAGCAGGAGCACTGCAAGGAACTTCCACCCAGGAAACTCCACCTAAGTAACTTGCAACCAGACAACGGGAACCTAAGGAATTTCCACTCACAAAACCCCACCCAGGAAAGTCTTGCTGAGGAAGAAAGATGCCAGCACTTTCTAGCCAGGTAAGTCCACCTAGGCAATTTTTCCCCAAGTCAAAGGAAAGCAAGGAATTGCCAGCCAGGATACCCCACCCAAGAAATCACACCCATGTTTTTTTTTCCGCAGAAAGCGGGAAACAAGCAACTTCCACCACCCGCGAAATTCCACCTAGGGAATTCATCTAGGAATTCCACCCAAGAAGCAAGGAACTTCCACCCAGGAACTCCACCTAGGACATTTCTTGCAAGAAAGAGAGAAGCAAGCAATTTCTAGCCAGGCGCTTCCACCCCGTTCGAATTTTTAATGAAAGGAATTTCCACCAAAGCCAAAATCGTATAGTACAGTACAACTTCAATACCATAAAAGACAGACTAATGCGAAAGCATTTGCCAAGGGTGTTTTCATTGATCAAGAACGAAAGCGAGGGGCGAGGGGATCGAAGCGGTGGACATTTGCCATTTGCACCAGGTACTGAACTGGCGGAGCGGTCGCCGGCAGCTCCTTTTTCCGTATATTTAAATAGTTAACTTCCGTATATTTAAGATGGTTGGCCGGGCCAGGGAAAACCTGCCCGGAGGTAGTATAAAATACCTATTGCATTGTTTAAATATCCGTATATTTAAATGTAGGTACCGTACTATATAGTTACGTATATATATATATATATATCATACTATATATATTTGCAATATGTGCATGTATATATATATATATATGTTGTGTATATATATTTATTTACACCACTACATTTATATAATTGGGATATAACTGGATAATATGATGGGTTTAAGATAAGTGGTTGAAAAATACTACGTATGGTGACAGTCAGGCATTGGACTACTCGGTGGTTTGGATTCCTTGAATTCCGCTGTTGAAAGGCTATGGAAGCACTGCATCAGAAGCCTTGGCAGAAATTGCTACCGAAGGGGTGATCACGGGACACTGCACAGTCAATGACTACAGATTGCATGGACTAATATAGCACATATATATATATATACGTATTTATTATATATATATCTATTTGCATATATATATATATATACATATATATATATATATTTACATATATATATATATATATGTAAATATGTTGTTATTGAGCTTTTTGTGTGATTCATCATATTGTTGTCATTATTTCATGTAGACGTCATTTTTGGCCATCATTTGCTGGTTTACCCACAGAAACCACATCCAACATATAGGGTTTGATTTTGGTAATATTTTGATAGGGTAATACTTATTTGGTTGGTGGTTTGGAACATGAATTTTATTTTTGCATCCAGTTGGGAATAATACTCCCATTTGACGAACTCATATTTTTCAGAGGTGTAGGTATACCACCAACCAGTTACTACCAACATGTAATCTTATTTTATTAGGAGATGTAATATGTTTGGATCATCTACCACCATATCATTCAACAGATTTTGGGAGTACCAAAGGTATTAGGAAAAAAACTTTTTATATTTCATAGAAATACTGAGTTCCAAAATAGGGTTCTAGGTGTTTTTTTGGTAGTTTTGGAGTCGTTATTCGTTTTATTTTTGAGATCTACCATCTAATTTTACGGACCAATCAAAGATTGTGTTTGGAAGACGACTAGATGATTTTCACCTCTAAGGTTCAGTTTCACTGAAACCCATCAATGCCAAGTTACCATCATTTTATCTTCAATCTTAGACACATGGATACACATGGTAACCACCTAGAAATAATGTTTACCCAGCATCAACATGTTATACAAGGTGAGGCCCCCAACATAACTAAGTTGGTCTATTATAACTTCAATGACTATAGGGTTTATGGTCATTATACGTATATTAGCTATACTTTTGACGCATTAGTAGTATAGTATACACATAGAACTAGATAAGTGGGTAGTGTGTGTGTTTATTCATATATATATATAATATTATAACTACAGTTCACAGGGCCGGGCTTACCTTACAAAACATCACCCAACTGGACGCTTCACCGCAACGCGAGGACATCTTTTCAGATCCTTCCAGAGGCTCAAAAGAGGACAGCTGCTGCCAAAAAGACTACATCGTAGCATTCTTTACTGTAGCTCCATTGTTGTTCCACATCAGTAATGTTCTGGGTGGTTTGGAACATACATCGGATACTATCCACATATATTATATAGATACATCGGATATTCTGGTTCATGATATTGGAGGATATCTGGTTGGTGGTTTGGAACACAGTGTACGAGGTGCATCGCTCCCTCATTCTGAGCATGCGCATTGTCCGAAAATGTGGTAGTTTGGAACATGGCTTTTATGACTTTCCAGTTGGGGAATGTCATCACATGTCATCACTGACGAAGTCCATGATTTTTCAGCGATCCCCTGGCGATGGCCCGGGACCCGGGTATCGCATGAGGAAGCACCCTTCTGGGGACAGGAACTCCTCAACCAAACAACCATGATAAATAGTGCTTTAACCATCAAAATAAGGACTCAAACCAATGAATTATGCCATGTACTACCACATACCAAGCTGGCTTTTTGTGGTTTCGAATTTTATCTTCACCCATATTTGCTGGTCCGGATTCCCTCATATTCCCAGCCAGCCCAGGAGGATAGCCGATTTGGTTCAGCCGAGGTGACCTTCTCCGAGTTGATCGTACGGGATACGTCATGAATTTTGTCGGCTTGCGGGTGCATCCCCCGTCATGGATTATATTATATTATATTCATGGAGTTATATCTGTTATTAATATGGATTACATGGCGTTATATGGATTATACACCACTTTAAAAAAATAAATGGAGTATTATGGAGTTGTATGTGTTACATAAAGTTATATCTGGATTATATAGCACTTATTTACTTGGATGCACATCCTAGACAGATGTTTAAGGGACCAATTTACAGGACACCCCTTGAACTTGAAGATAAAGTCCACTGATTGTTGGATGGACCAATGGTTCCGATGAGATTTTCAATTGCAGAACAGTGTGTCCAGACAGGACCTTGATTTTGTTCATAATCATGTTTACATATATTTACTGTCTAAGAGGAAGGTATCCATGAATCTAGTGACTTGTCGTCATGTTTCTACTAATAACAACTTTGGAGTTTGGAGTATGCCTCATGATCAGACTTGCTCACACGATCTATAGAATTTGAGTCCAATGCTTGTTTGTTTTAAACAACATGGTTGTTTTTCCTTTTGTTGTTGTAATACCTTTGGTAAACGAATATAATTGCGCACTCCCAGGGAAACAATGGGTTTTCCACATCTGTATTAGTTTACCCCAGGGTAATACGTGAACCGATGGTCACAAACCACGTGAGAATATCTCAACATAGAATGGTGGATGAATCTGCGACCGATGTACTGATACCATGGCAGTATCCTTTGCTGCATTCTGGGCTACAATGTGTGTTACTCTCCGGTAATCAAAGTTGGTAACGGAAAATCATCTGCAAATGTATGTATATATATATATATATGCATATTTAATGGGAGAACCATCTATACATGGGATAACCATATATTTGAGGTGTGAGAGTCATCACGTCAGAGGTGAGACATTCTTAGCGGGCGATATTGATTGATATATTTTTTGGCATCATCATTAGACATTATGGATAACTTTTCTATCTGTTGGGGAGGTACGTTATATAATATAATTTAATTTAATATAATATATTATTTAATATATGATATAATATAATATAATATATAATATAATATAATATAATATATAATAAAATATTTAATATAATATATAATATAATATATAATATAATAAAATTTAACATAACATAATATAATATAACATAATAAATTATAACATAATATAATATAATAATATATATTACCTTTAATCTAATAAACCACAATCACCCATGCATGAACTTGTTTTGGACTACCCTCCAGCAAAGATAGCTATGGAAATCCACCGGTCCCCCTTCGAAATCATCTACAAATAGTGGGTTTTCCAAACAGGATGGTGCCCCTCAGTTGTAAGTTTGTTTATAAACCCCATTAACTATAGTTATATCTGCAATAAACCATAGTTATGGGAGTTATGTTCACCAACTTAGCTAACTATGGGGCACCACCTTGTAGCGGGCTGTGAGTTTCCATGGCTTCCATCAGGAGCTTCCTTCGCTGACGCCTCATTCCCGTGGATCCAAGGCACGCCGACAGAGTACGTCGGTTCACCCGATCCAGTTGTAGCTCTAAAAAGGTATGAGGCCGGTATGACTGGGGGATTCAATAGCTAAACCCAAAAGTAAACCAACCTCAATAATAATAATGATTTTAGTAAGATCCCAACATATGGGCGTAAAATTGGAGATCGCAGAGCCCCAAACGGCAAAATTCCGAAATGCATAGATGATGGGGTTACGGTTCCAACATGCTTCAATTATTTCCCATATCAACTGAAGCTATCACTGTTGCTTGGCAAACACTTGGCCATGTCCCAGCATATCCATGTGGGGAATGAGGTATCGTCGATTGCCACTCTTTGCGTATCCATTGCTGGATACACAGCTGGATGATGCAAACCTTGAAGTCGTGGCACCAATGGATCTGCAGATATGCAAAGTCAGATGCAAAAACTGTTGCAATGGCGCCATTTGAGGTCCATTCCTTCAGTTATGGCCATTTATTAGTTATAACTGCTTATAAATGGGATTATACATTCTATAAATGGGGTTATAAGTACTTATAACTGGTAAAGGGCCATAACTGTTCATATATTGCAAAATTGGTATGCCGTTGGCCAATGTTGACTTCTCCCGCGTTTGGCCAATGTAATAACGCTATTTGATCCGCATCTCAGCCGTGTTTGCATCGGTTAAAGCCCGGCAAACAAAACATGTCTGCAAGTCCAGTCCAGTGGCAAGCGAGTCTGTTCCAAATGGGAAGTGAGTCTCAGAGTGCCCGCCATCTACTATCGCTTTATGGCCCAAGACACTTGGTCTTAAACTAGGCTGAGGAGGATTAGTGGTGAATATATCCGCACTTGAATCAGTTCACAAAAAATATCTGGGCCCCAGGTTCATTTTGCAAATATGGTCCCATTTTGAATTGTACCCACGTCCAATGGTGGACCAATGACTGGGCAGAATGAAAGCTTCAAGACATTTCAAAACAACCTCATCGAAGCGTTGCCAGCAATGAGCTCGTCAAGCTATAGCTCTAGCTCATCAAGCTCTGATGAGGATGAGGAGGAGAGGGTTTGGTTGTTTAGTTGGTGGAACACGTTTAAAACATTTAGTTGTTGCAGGAACCCCAGATAGTCCCCAAGAAGCTGCATGACTATTTGGAGGTTGGGGACACCTTTCTGCAGAAATCCGGTGCCCCAGCAGCAAGGTGTTCTCCCTCATGTCACAGTCATATACCACCGATGACCCAAGGCCTGAGTTCTTGGTTTGGCGCTTGGCCATCTGACAAGGAGTTCCACTATGTCTCAGATTGTGCCCCAGATGCACCTCCACTTCGGCCGTTTTCCGCTGTTTTTGACACAATCGAGCTGCTAGTATTTGAGGCAGCGGGGCTGATGTCCCATTCTTTGGCCTCTCCATGCTCTTTGAGTCTGCCAAGAAGAGCAGCATACTGAAACACAAGAAGCTAAGCTTTACAAATCGTATTTCAACTGGCGATGATTGTCTTGCAAAAATATGAGATCCAAAATTTGACAGATGGTTCTTGTCCTGTTTGAACTACCCAAGGGCCGCTTCAGAGATCCACCCGAAAAAGCGGAAGTTCTTGGAGAAAAATGTGAAACCTGAAATGCACCTGGTCTTAGAGGTTTTACATGACTGATTGTAGTGGCACACACGCACACACACACACCCTCGTCAGAATTGCAAATAGCATCCGGTAAGACTTCGCAGATTACCTAGGTTGACTACTTCAGTCTTGCAGCAGGACAACACATCTTTGGAGGAAAACGTTTCTTGGATTCATTATTGGATTTGTTGGAAAGGTCCATGCATGTCGGCGCAGCAATTAAAAACATGAAGTCTATAATAAGAAAATTTCCTGTGGACCATCTTAGGTATCTTTGTATTGCGCAGGCTTCCCTTGTACCCCATATAGCATGCTGGGGGAACGGGAATGCCTGTCCGACGTCAACTCGAAGCAACTGTTTGCATGTGTACGTCGCATGAAAATCTGCAGGCCAAAGGAACCTTGGCTAAAATTGCAACAAATTAATATTGATGAACATATGTCGACTCACAACATAGCAAAAGGGGAAGAACTGGTCCCAGGTAGCCATCCTTGAGAATGTGATGGGTTTCATGACGGTGGCTGACAAGGTGGCAAAATTTATTGCGGCAAACATGCCATGGTATCTCTTCCCAATTCGATGTTTATGTTGCGTCACGTTTGCGATTTATTTTTGAGCTGCTTCACAGAAATTTCAATCTTAGGTACCGGATGTTGTATGTGACGATGAACCCGTCCCTTTTCCAAATTATATTCTTTGTCACCTGCACCGCTAGCACATACATGTTTGATGCATTCCATGTTTCATGTTCGGGGAGCCTTCAAAGAAAAATCAAACAAGGACAGGGTATGGTGCACCACTTTCGAGACGACGTCTTTACTTGCTCCTGATTAGAGAATCTGCTCTGACCGATGAAGCATCACGGATGGACTTACTGGAGTTTATTCAGGAAAAGCTGAAGGCCATGCATGTCACATCTTCCAAAACCCCATGGATACTTGGTTGATTTTTTCAAAAAAAAACAAAGAACAAACCAACATGAATATAACATTCAATAAATCTCCCATTCCTGCAGCCGGTAAGGAAAAACTTACTCCTGCCGAAGAAGGACCCGGCTGTCAAGAAGGACATGGACAAGCGCCGTCAACGCGGGCAGATCTCCAAGCGTCTTGGCTATGTACACCAAGCAAGTGCAGCATGACACACGCTTCCAGATTCCAGGTTTAAGGCATGGCATGTTTACCCGAGGCGAGCTGATCCAAAGGCAAAATGGATTCAACGGCACAATGAATGGGCAAAAACCAAGAAGGTAGGGTCATCAAAACAATGTTGTGAGCTGGATGTATACACTCCCAATCAAGAATTTGCTATTATGTGTTTGCTGGGGTTTGGCAGGTGTCTCTAAAGAACTCCATGAAATCCTTTGCCAAAAAATACCCGGATGCGGCCAAACACGTGACCAGTATGAGGGAGATGCAGGCCTGGCTCCAATCAAGAAAATTACAGTTCAATATAATATGATCAAACCACCAATAGCTGGATGTTGCAACCATGATGAGGGAATGATGGGGTCAACCAACCTCCAAAACCCTGTGGGGAGGCACTTGACCTGCTGCTTGCAGACAACAGAGAGCTGAGCCTGGTCAACACTAGCCAATCTTTGGCGCAAATGCCATTCTTGACAACGGATTCACAGGATTTGCCATGCCTCACGTCAGAATCTGAGGCCAATCAAATCGAATTTCAGTGACGGTTGCCAAAAAAAAACAATTCAGATTTTCTCACAGTAAGTTCTTGCGGCTGGCCAAGGCCATCTGGCAAGTTCCTTTCAACTTCTGCGGGAAGGTACATCATAGGTCGTGAGGTGATGGCACTCATGGGTATTCCCATCCATCGCCTTCGTCTCGACTCGTTCAGTGAAAGTGTTTCTTGATTTGAGAATCTATGAACCTGAAAAAGTGTAGTTGGTTTGAGGTCAAACTGTTTTTGATAGTACGGTATAGCAGCCTGATTAGGCATGCGATGGCATGTGCATGTATGCGCATCTGAGGTGTTACACAGCTTGGGTGGGAACGCTATGCATATGCGCTCAGTGCTTCCATTAATTTGTGCGGCTTTGGCTGCAACTGTCCCTGATCGACTTGCCATGTGACACATGCAGATGTGGCCCAAAAAAGGTCCACAAGGGCATGCGTTGCTAGAGACACATGCATGCTACTTTTTGAAACGGGCTGGGATGTATGCATGCTACTTAATGACATGGCTTTGGAACGCAATCTTTGATATGTGAGTGTGTCTAATGAGGTATTTCTCAATGGATCAAGTCACGACAAGAAGACTATTATGATTCCATGAATCTTAAAAAATGTGCTCTCGAACTGTTAATTCATATAGGTCATAGATCTGTCAATTCCCAATGTAATCAAAACCTGTATGTTCCCATCATAGATGCACCTGTATGTTCCCATCGTAATCATAAAACCTAATCCTTTTTTATTCGCCAATTCCTATGCCTGGCAATGCCTGTGCTTGGCCGCTGGGATGATGATGCTGATTCTGGAACTGGCCCTGTGCGCTACAGTGCAACGTCATCTTCAAGCTCTGCTCGCAGCCAGCTGCTCAGCTGAATTTAGTCGCCGCATTCGCGGAGCCTGCTGAGAAAGTCTTCCAATATACTTAGGCCACCAGTTATGGTTACCCCTTCAACCCAAGGTGTTCTGAAGACTCGGAAGATCATGATGGATCTACTAGCAGTGCTGATGACTATGAATGTAGTTCAAGCACCTCGGAAAGTGACTCTGGTAGTAGTGATGGTGGAGGATTCGGTTCAGCAAACTTGACCTATGAAAGGGTTATATCCTTGCAGAAGAGACATGAAAGAAATCAATCCAAATATTGCAAGGCTGGTGGTTCAAAAAGACGAATCAAAGGGGCCTTAGACAACCCGATATGCAGATGTGCATGCAAGCTACCCCTCGCAATTTTGATTCGTATTTGCATTGCCTTTTGGAGCCTGATCAAGCAAGAGCAAGACTGCCTTCTATGGACCCTGCAGCATGAAACTGGCAAACGCAAGATTCGATGGTTCTTGCAAGGACTGTTTTTTGTGTATCATTGTTTGGCTGTAAGTAGGTTCAGTAAAGTAGACTGGATTTGTTTTGGTCTATATTTCCTGCTATTCTTTTGGCGGCCAGTCATCACAAAGTGAAGCGAATGAATGACATGAATGCATGACAGGAAGGTACACAGAATAAGATAGCATACAGTTGAGGATAACGACATGACATTATGTTAGTGAAAGGAAAGACTGGGTATATGGATTGTGGGTTTGTATTATTGATGATTGCTGTTTGCAGGACACCCCGTCTGCAGAGAAGCCTTTGCACACCTCTTGGGGGTAGGCAAGCGTCGTCTGACCAGGTGCAGGAGTTCATATCAGGGCAGGGACTTGAGAACAGTCGGTGGCCGTGGGGGAACCTTTGACCAAACAGCGGGTTTGAGGAAATTTCAGGGTCTATCATTCATCTCTCAGGGTCTATCATTCATTTCATCTCTTTGGCTCCGCAAATTCACCAGCTGTATCATCGGCCGCTGCTCAGGATCTTCGGCTCCACCTTCGGTGAAGTCACCAAGTGTCACGGCGTTTCTGATCCATCTCTACTGGAGTGCTGCAGAGCCTATGTCCACTGCGAACTTGGGCACTGTATGTTTATATATTAGTCTTGATATTTGATTAAATATGGGAGTTCCTGGTCCTTGGGATCAAGTTGGTATTTCATTGCATTAATTTCTCAACATCAATTGGATCGCTAACCAAGGATTGCTTCAAAACAAAACTTGGCCAAAGGGGGTGAAGATTTACGTCAAGAACTATTGGAGCGCTTGATCGACTGCAAACTGATGAATGCAACAACACAGATCAACTTCAACAGTAATCCAGAACGGTTGCCTCTGCGTGAATTACCCCATGGTAGTTGGAACAACGTCTACTTACTTTATCAATCGTATTGCAAGACTCAGCAAGACCCAGTAGCCTCAAGGCCGACATTCTTTGCAATCTGCAAGCGTTGGAGGTGCTGCCTTCGGTTTCACAAAAAAACGCAGCACCAAATCTGTGAAACATGTTCCAAGCTGAAGAGCAGGATCCGGTACTCAAAAGAACCTTGTTATTTAAATAAGTCTTATATTGTTGTTTTGGGGTTCCTGAACTCCTGCATTTCCGCTATACCGCTATAAGTGTGTAAAACTCGTTGACCTCTGCTGTGCTTAGGAGATGCGAGATCATCTTTATTGGTCCGATGCTCTCTTGCATCATTATGCAAGGACCTGGCAGGATCGCCAGGTCTACTGGCTTGCACGTGAACGCGCCAGAAAGCACAAAGATCTGCTTGTCCTGATCATCGATAGCTATGATAAAGCTAAAGTGGCACTACCAAGATACCCTTATGGCAGAACCCCAAAGAAGCCGATTTACGAAAGAGTGCACAGTCCACCAAGTTGCAATTAGAAAAAACAATTTTGCATTTTTGTTTGCAGCCCCTGGTTTGCATTTTGGTTTGTGTATTTCCCTAAAATTCGAAAGCCTAGCACTATCCATGCTGGATTTGATTCTGTGTTGATCCAAGTCAAGGATCTTCCTTGACATTGACTGGATGCATCGTTCACGGTTGCGGAGTATTTTTGTACTTGGCTGATGAAGGAATGCCAACAGGCGCAAGTTGGACCTTAGAAGTAGTACCCTGGTGCGGTTTGGAATATACAACTCAATGTTTCAAATTGTGTACCCTATATTTTGAAATAGTTCCAGCTCGCTGCCGGCCTCCAAGGCAATGCGCTCCATCGACAAAGCCTGGGCAATTGCACGTGCTCAGAACCTTCCCTTCGCCAGTGAGTATCTTGGCAAATTTGGGTTAGAGGGCAATCAACCTGACTAGCAAACATTATCTGAAACTTTTATGTTTGGTTGTCATTGGGGACCATGCAAAGGTTGTGGCTTCAAGGCGACAACGCCTGCAAGGAGGTTCGAAATAGCTTCACTGGGCGATGGGCCACATTGCTTACTCAAGCATCCTTTTTCCAATCTGCAGGCCATCACCATATGGAAGTTGGACACACCCATGAAGACATAGGCTGGTGGTTCTTCAATGTTTTTCATCTTGTACAATTTGAAAACCTTTTTTGGTCCATCAAAGTGTTTACAACAATCACCCCAAAAAATGGTCCCTAAAGACATTCAACTTCGAGGGTTTGTAGCTAGGGGCATGTGTGGCAGAACGGGGTTGCACTGTGCTTGGCCTCACCCTGACAGATGGTGTTTTTTCTATCGTCACTTCTTGCTTGAACCAAGAGCCCAATCTGAACACACCATCCGATGTTCGAAGGACTGGTAGACCATTCTTGGGAACCTTGAAACATCATTCGTTTTTTTTTAATGTAAATCATGATGCGATAGTTTTGAAGCTTTATCCCTGCTCCCACAGCTGGTGCCCACCACCCTGCCTTATCTTCTCCAGGACCTTGTTGCAGCGCATGGGGCCGCTTTTTGCAAAGTCTGGAATGAGGTTTGAGTGTGAAATGGTGGACACAGTGACTTGTCAACCAAATGCATTAAACAACATGCAACAAATTAGTCGGTAATTCACAACTCAGTTAGTTACTTTGCACATTCCTTTAGATTTACATTTGGGTATGTCTCAAAATGAGGTGCCCTTTTTGGCCCAAAAAATACCTCTGCCATGGGTAATTTTTTGATATTTTTTTGGATTGCTTTTGTCCCCCAAAATGTTATATATACTTTAACTTTGAAGAGGAGAAAAGGGCACCTCAATTTGAGACATACCCACTTCACACCCTGGGAAATCATCATTAGCAACTAAGATCAGAGACTGGTGCCGGATGATGCCGACCGGGGCATCGTTGAGAAATGCTTACAGGGCCAGAAAGGGAGATCGAGACAAAGAAGGTGAAGAAGAAGCATGCAAAGTTCCACAAAGTTTTACTTTCATGCCAAGGGAAGGCTGGATGGTACCCAACAAAATTGTTTAAAAAGGCTGACCCAGGTTTGAAAATTACACCGCCTTCCCCTCCAAACCTTCCTGCCGATCTGGGCAGGCATGCCGGGTCAGGGATACAATCTCCAGCTGGACGACAACCTTCCGCGCCGATTGCGATCATCGGGAAATGGGAGGGACATCTTTGCCATGGTGAAGATGACCATGAGCCATGATGTTTTATCACAACCTCCACTCCTCGTCTACCCCCACATGTTGTTGAGCAACACAGAGGCTTTTTTCAACAAGGTAAACCAAGCAGATGCTCCAGTCCTAACTGCCAAACTTGGAAGACTCACGATGTGATGAACTGAGAGAACTCTCTAGCCAGCTTGAGAAAGACTTTCCGCACCTTTCTCGTGGTGCGAGGTATCTTCGCCAGTTGACAGAGCCTGATCGCCATCGAGGGCCATGCTGCAATTTAAATTTTATAGATGCAGGGCCGCGGGCAGGTTTGGGTTTTGGGAACCTGCAACTGGGTCGTCCACCCCCAGAACCAAAGCCATACAAACTTCAAGTTGTCTTTCACCATCAGGTGCGCTGATGTGTCCTTTTTCACCAATGGGTGAATCGTGGAATCTTGAAAGTTTACATATGTACCATAGATTTGTCTTGGTCCATGACGCCTAGATAGGGGTCAGGTGTCAAAAAGGGGTCTGTGTGGCTGCACCTCAATTGCTAGTATGAATCGCCCAGTCATTCTTGTATTGGATTGGCAGGATTGGCACTCAAGGAAATCTCATGACGCTTCAAAATTTTCTGAGGAAAGTATTCTGTGGGAACCCCAAAAATAGATCACCCCCAGAATGGGATACGTTCAAAATAAGTTTGTTCAAAACAATACCCGCTGAATATATTGTTTCCCATATCACCTATTTCTTGTTTGGCTTCAGGGATGCTTTTGCATAGTGCACCGTGCGCCAACAATGACGCTTTTTTGCGATGATGCCACAAGCAATGGGGTGTTCCAGAAGATCCGTGATGTTTTCGATACAGTGCATCCCTTAGAATTACTTTGTGACAGTGTGGCAGTATAGCAAACTAAATGTGGTCCCAATATGCATTACATTACATCCCCTCTGGTTCATGGAGAAGTCAGGTGACACAGACCCAGAACTTCGGTGAGTATGTGAGCCACTACTTGTCCAACACAGCCAACCTGGCCAAGGCTCTATTTAGTGAGTGATGAGGGAAAAAACTTGTTTTTAGATCAACTGGTTTTCAGATGAACTGGTTTTTAGATCAACTGGTTTTTAGATCATCTGGTTGTCTACCTTATCCTCGCCTTGCCTCAGATCTGCGAAGATTTGTTCGGTCACCTCAGCGATGCTGCTGCGAGGGGGCGTGTGCTCGGGATGGTCCCGCAGGGCAGCCTCCGTGAGTTCTATCTCCCGATCACAGCCTTCAATGTTGGGAAAGACACCAAGAATGGATGCCAGGGGTTTTGAAACAACCTTGCGGTTTTGTTTGTAAAGCAAACCATATGTTCTATTATTCTAGTGTTGTCATGTTTGGGTGGTTGCTTTGAACCCTGGATTCATTTCCCTGAAGTTTACCCGCAGAACAACCAGATCTGCATCCATGTGAACGAATTCCTCAAAGATGGTTACCGCGTTTCTGCAGAATCCATTGAAGTCCGCTTCCCTCATGTGGATGGGAGCCGGGTGATAAACGATGGAACGGTCGGAATCACCGACGGCTACTGCAAGTTGATCATCATGACCGGTGTTTTGGTGATTGCCCACAGCCTAGAAGCCCAACCAACATATTTATGGGAATGTCTCAAAACCGGGGATCCCGACACATGTTTTAGTGTAAACATATTTATTTCATTGAGACATTCCCACATATTTTGATCTCATGGAGTCGGAATTTGAATGAATGGGTGTAATGTTTTGGTTTCTCTTCGAGTAAGGTGAAAGACCCTATTGCCTGCAGCCCAAAACCCTGTATGCCAGTCTGCAGCCCAGGAACTGCCACGGGAGGAGCTTGACCGAGATGATGTTGAACGTGTGTTCAAGTCCTTTCGGCATGTGAGGTGCAGCTACACCCACTATGCCAACCCTTCACACCATCACTTGCACGCCCTGAGATTCTAGTTTTGATTTCGGGAATTTGATGATTACCCCAGTTTTTGTAATCTGGAATATATCATTCCACTAATTAGTTTGAGGCTGGGAATGCTTTCATCTCAGGGATCGGACATGTGACGTCCGAAAAGCAGGCACCAAGTGCCCTGGACTATTTGGGTAGCATGCAGCAGGCGGTTGACCTAGAACGTCGGGCTAGTAAACCAGGAACTTCCACTGCATTGCGGGATGTTTTGGGCCGCTGCATTGCGGAGTACAACCGCATGTGCAGCAACAAGCGCCACAAGATTGACACAGACAAAAAAAAAATGATCCTGAATCTGTTCCTTGGGTGAATTTACAATGTTTTGTTCTCCAGTTGAATCAGATGCACCAAAAAGGCTTCCCAAAGGAGTAGAATAGCAACCAAGTGTGGTTAAACGCAGTGTATCCCAAGGCTCCGTCTTGACGAGCCCGCACAAGCGGCGATCCACAAGCACTATGATTTGTTCCCCCATGCTCTGTCAGGTGGGTTGTGGTGGTCAAGTGGGTCTTCATCTAATTTAGTGAAGCTTACATATGAAACACACACATATACATATACATATACATATACATATACATATACATATACATATACAAACACATAGACATATACATCTACATGGACATCTACAAATACAAATACATATACATATACATGACATTTACATATACATAATATACACATGCACAAAATACATATACATATACATTTGTTTATATATATACATATACATATATATATATAGACATATACATATACATATATATATATATATACAGACATATACATATACATAGACACAGGCATCTACACATATAATCAAAGATGTACATATGTATATATTACTTTTTACGCATCCACCTATTGTTTTCAAAAACATTAGCAGGCATGATATGTATGTACTTAGAAGATCTTAGAAGTGTGTATATTATATATATATATGTATTTGCATCTGTTTAGTTTTACCACATATGACTGGTGTAAACTGTTTTTGGCACATGACGTGTAATTTGTTTTCAGTTATAGGTTATGTCTGTAGGTAAATGTGATTGTGGAAACATCTATATATATATATATTTAATTATATTTACAGAAGATTCACTGGATCCACCCACACACACATGCATATGTATATAATAATGGGTATTCACCTGGATTATTTAATATGGTTGTATGTGCAATTATACTTTCATATAGTTATGCTTCTAAAGATGGCGACTGCATATTCTTTGCACATAGATATGTGATGACCCAGGCTAGGTGTTCACACCAGGCGCCCGTGCTGCTCCGCCGCAGGATTGCCACTCAGCCTGCTGCAAGCAGATTGGTGGGTGCCGGGATCAACTGCCAGGGCAGAGTGTGCCAAGTTTGCTGGGAAACCTCTCTTCCGGGAAATTCTTACGACAACCCAAGAGTCATGCCTGACATGGATCAAGAGGGCTACACAGGACCATGTTTTTACAACACATATTTCATTGGTCATGGTTTTGGGTTGATTGCCAAAACTTAATCATTGCCATTAACTCTGTACTAATGACCTCAGAAAACAAATCCCATTAATTAGT